TCTACAATAGGCTAAGGGCATCAAATAGAGAGTGAGATAAAGATGTAGCCTAAATTACATAATAAGATATCAACAACCTAATTTATTTGATGGCATACAAATCAACAAATTGACAACCCAAAATACATAATAAGATACCAAAATCCAAGAAATCCGTATCAGAAAAACACAAAAATGGAGCTGAGCAGTCGATGCTATAGCCTGCAAATCCGTGGCCGTGTTATAAAAGAAATAGGAAATCGACAGACATGATAACCGAATCATATGAATTCCTTTTCGGGAATTGATGGAGTTGCTTATTTTTGACAGCCGAAAGAAAAATAAGAAAATAGAGTTCCAAAATCATAAAATTTTGGAGATAAAATAAATACTAGTCATTAAATTTGAGGGTTCAAGAGGATGGAATCAAGAAAAGGGTATGCCAGATTTTGAAGATCTTGAATATTTTGCTAACCTATCACCAGTTGGGTTTATTTATTTATTGTCATCTGATAAAACAAAAAGGTTAATTTGTAGTTGGTACATAGAAAATGGTTGGAGAGAGAGAAAGAAGAAGATGGAGATAGACAGGTCGAAGAGGAAGATGGAGATAGACAAGTAAAAGAGGAAGATGAGATGTGCAATGCAGCTAGGGACGAAGAGGGAAAATTGAAGAAAAAGAGATGTCTGATGGGTCTTAGTTGGGTATACGGGTTTTGTTTTACCCGTTTGTATGTGAAACCTATTAAAACCATGTTTTAATCTCAATCGTTCAATTTAATCCAATGGTGTTCTTATATAAAATTCTCATTTATTGTTCTCACTAGATAACTGCCCATTCTCCCTGAAGGCAAGAAAAGGAGGAAATAACAAGATGAGCCCACCTTATTGTATCGTCTCTCTCGACTTGCTTTGGACCAATTGTAGTCTTTCAAAACTGTTGTTCAGTTTTGTTTAAAGGGGCAAACAAATATCAATTTGTGGCTTCAATTGGCGGCTAGGTCTCAAAGTCTCTCTGATGTGGACTCTTTTCTCATGGTCTAATTGATGAAAAATGTCAAGGCCTGGAAATAGATTATTGGGTTATCAAAAATTGTCAATTAATTCCCAAAAGGCCAAAGTATTTAATGAGTGATCAAATAAACACTCATTAAATTTACAGAGGCCTGAATTGTCTATTATATGATTAATGGATCAATTTTAAAATCTTCAAAGCTATATTTGGGTCCAAATGCAAATGTCAATTGTAGAAAATTAGTGGGTTCATCAAAATTGCTCATTATTTTTCTTGGACATTGACAATAAGAAAAGTTGTACAAAACCATCCAATTTTTCCCATGAGTCATCTACCCATGCAAATTTCAATGAGATTAAATTCAAATCTCTCAAACATAAATTCTCAATTAGTGGGTCACACTTACCCATTAATTTCCAATTTTTCCCATGGGTCATTTATCTATGAAAATCTTAAAATCTCCAAATTGTCTCAAAGACATAAATTCTAAATTAGTGGGCTACACTTACCCATTAATTTCTAAATTTCCGAACTACATTGGTTTGATCCCTTCGAAAGGGTATGTATGCAATCTAGAGATTCAATCTAGATGTAACCGTCCAAATCTTAAATTCGAACAAAATTACTGGTTTATTCTTAACCAAATTCACCCCCAAACACAATTTCATATCGAATCCCTGGTTTATTTAGCTAAATTCACTGAAACACTTTTCAATACAATTTAAATCAAATTTCTCTTGCAATGAGTCATTTATTCATGCAATTCTTCGAACTACGAGTGGCTTGATTCCAGCAAGGCATATGTAGGCACTCTGAGGTTTTACTTAGGGGCAGCCGCAAAACAAAAGACACACATCTGTTTCTTTATGATGAAATCAAAGGGTGTTCTCTTGAAGTAAGGGATTGTAATTAACAGACACTGCGTCTTGAATGGATTGAACCTAAAATAATAAAACCCCATTATTCAATTAGTAGTAGAGAAATTATGTTGGGAGGTTCACATATATCTTCAACAGATAATAAACAACCCCCATTATACATGATAAGGGAATGGCCACAAATACAACAATAGCAATAGTCATAGTAATATGAAACAGTCTATTTGTTCGCAGAGGCTTATGGGATGAAAAGTCGAGAAATGTATAAGTAATGAAGCACTTTGTAGTGTTGAAACCGCCTTCGTTGCCTCCTCCTCCATTGCCACCGGCAGATGTCCCAAATGTGGTCAAAGGAACCATCAACTTGCAGTGGATTGCATTCTTATTATTTGTGCTCTTGAATGACATGTCGTACCTAGGCTTCACCTAAAGAGCAAGCTGCAAGTCAATACTATAAATGCCTGCATCAGTCCGGGATTTAAACTTGCGAAGCTCAGCTTCTCCAAACTTCACCAACCGCTTCCCTTGAACATGTAGATTCTGCAAAACGGTGGTATTTTGTTAGGGTTTGTTATTGTGATGTTGAGAGCAAGATTAAAGTCGAGAGTTTGGTCGGTGGTTGTGTAGTTGAATTGGGTAAGAAACACATTTGTTATTGGAAAGTTTGAGAGATCAAATCCTGTGAAACTGGACGATACCAAATGACCGTACCCTGCCTACATCTACTTTATTGTATTGAGAATTCTCATTGCATGCAGGTCACTAATGCGTATACTAAATGTCATGTGTATAAGAATTTTTTATGCCTATATAGTATATGATTTAAATATAAGAATTCATTTGAAGATTTTTTTAACTGTTTATTGTCTTTAACTTGGGGGTTGGCTGGCTTTCAAAGCATGTTGTGGGTCTAAAAGTAGTTGGCCCATACTCCATATTACAAAAAACTTTCTAACACAAATTAAAAAGTGAGTCCATCGCATTTTGGTTACAAGTTGCAATGGGGCTCAAAAGCCCATTAAGGAAATTTAAACTGCCTTTACTTACGTCTTGTGTTGTCAAAAATGGCTGCGCAATGGAGGGATGCAGAGAGATGTTAAAAGTAGAACATCGCCTGCTACATTTGCTTTCATTTTTACATCTCCATATGCGGGACCCACTGGTGCAAAAGGAGGAGAGAGAGGGTTGTTTGGCACGGGTTGAGAGGCGGCAAACCTGTACACCTCATTGGATTGGCTTGGATTGAACTAGCTTAAATAACACTCTTAACTTATGTTTGGTGCAGCCCTTCGTTAAGTTAAATGAGATTAGATAATTCGGGCCTTAAAAAAAGGCTTCGCTCATTGGCACAAAATAGCAAACTCTGAAGAGGTGCCACTAAATAACGAGGTTGCTATTGAGTATGCCATTATCCTCTTCGACGTTGCTTCGGCTCTCCTCTTCCACTTTGCTTTGTTTTCCTCTTCTGTTGTGCTCTGCTCTCACTCACTCAAGGTTAGTTGTTCAACTCTCTCTCTCTCTTTCCACTCTTCTTCTATGTTTGTCTCTCTCCTTGGTGATATGATATTTGATAGGTTCAATCAACTATTTCTTGGTTTGATTCTTAAGTTTTAATTATGGGGTTGTTTGTTCTTAGCTTAATCTGATGAAAATTAAGATTTGTATTGGTTAATTTTCGTTGGATTATAATTTGATATTTTTCTAGGGTTTTCAATTTTGAATTGTTTTTAGGCTTAAGTGCTACAGTGCCCCTTGAAACATTGGTCAAATCTCACATTGCCCCCTTAAAGTTAAAGTAATTCACTTTACCCCATTGACCGATGTTTGCACCTCACTTGCCTCTCACCTCACTGTCAAGTCCGTTAAAATTTCCGTTAAAAATGCTGATGTGGCATCAATAGGGCCCACTATTTGCTAAACTAAGTGCCATGTGTGAAGAAAAAAATAAAATAAAATTGTCTTTTAAAAAACTTAATTTAACTTTAAAAATAAAAATAATACTTTAAATCCAAAAAACCCAAAACCCAAAATCCCCTCCTATCCTATCTCTTCCTCTCTCAGGGACCCAAAACCCAGCCCCCTTCCTAAGCCAAAACGCCAGCCCTTAGAGCATTTCCAGCAAATGGCCTAAGGGGAGGGTTGGGGGGTGCAAACTCAAAATGGGGTTTCCAGCAACAAAGATCTGCCAGGGCAAGGAGTGGGGCCCAGCTACTTGGGCTGGCCCGAGGAGGAGGTGGCCCGAGCGCCAGCCCGAGGGCAATCTGATGTCAGTGCGCTACAGTGCTCTCTTTGCCCAATAAAAAAATGTAAAAAATACCCAAAAAATACTGAAATTGTTTTCTATAAATACCAACCAATACTCTTCACTTTTAACACCAGCAGCCAATATTTTTGTAATAAAAAATTGAAAAAAATACCAAAAAATTATTCTTTTTTTTTTCCTTATTTATTTTACTTTTATTTATTTTTATATTACTCTATTTACTTAAGTTTACAATGTAAATAAGGAAATACCCCCCATTTGGATTCAAATAAAAATACTAGAAAATCAAATTCCCACCAAATCAAAATATGAAAAATCGGTTTTAGTGCAAAATACGATTTAGGCTAAAAATGATGGCTCATTAAGTGAATATATACTTCATATTAAAATCCCATAAAATCAAGTTTTCTTATTTGATGTGTAAGGAATAAAAGCCGCCAAAAATTATCTTGAGAAAATGATTATTCCGAAAAACCATTTGTCATACTTAGTCAATATTGCACATCCGCTAAAAATCTTGAGAAAATGATTTTTCATATGTAGGAACCCAAAAATCTTATCCGAAAATATTATCCAAATTAATTGTTTAAGTAAACAAAGTTGTGAAAAAAAAAACAAAAAAATAAATAGTATTTGCCATGGCAAGCCTAAACTGTCGGAAACACACTTTGTTAAGGGGGGGTAGGGCAGTCACTATTCACATAAATAGTAGCTGCCCTATGACTCCCCTTGCCATGGCAAGGGGCTAATTGGTGGAAGTGCTCTTATACCCTAACCCAAATCATCATCACCCTTCTCCATCCCTCGGTCGTCTTCGTAGTAACCAGAGCCCTTGACCAAGAAATGTTCAAACCTAGTATTGGAACTAACGTTCTTCATCGTACGATATCTTGGAATCGGATTCTAATTCATCATCAGATAAGGAGGAGGGCGACGAAATGGAAAAGGTTTCTTCATCATCGTCGTCGATGTTGGAGAACTCGTCGTCTTGGAGCTTCTGGGAAATCGAAATCGAAAAGGCAAGTGAAAGAAAAGATGGGTCCAGCAGCGAGGTTATGCGGGACTGAAAATCGCTTATTTTGTTCACAACTGGAACTTTTGGCTTTCACTGAGATGGCATTTTGGCCTTCACCAGAAGTGCTTGTATAGACAGTCTTTTGTGAAGATTGTGAGACCATAAAATCAAAGAGGGATTTGAGGGTTTGTGAAGAACTTGGGTCCTGGAATTTTTGGTTTGCACAGCCCTTGTAAACCAAGTTTGTGAAATCAGCGGAAGTGATGGCAAAGGGAAAGGAAGCAAAGTCTGTGTCGAAAAGCAGAGCAGAGCACATGAAAGGAGATTGCTTGGTAGGCAAACCCATTTGAGGTGCTGGTGTTTCTGCTTCTGGGTTTTTGTTTTTGTTTTTTTTTTTCCTGACTCCGATGGATGCGAGAGGAGTGTCGTCGGCGCAGGACTTGTGGAGGGAAGACAAAAAATTAGACATCGAATTTTTCCCCTGATTGAATTGTTCTTCATTTTGTCATTGAGAGTGAGTGACAGAGGGAGTGAGTGAGGTTTTTGGGTTTGGAAGCAGAGATCAGTTTCATCAGAGAATTCAGCTGGTATTTTAAAAGCGAATTCATGCTGATAACGTGATATAGAACTAAGGAAAGGGAATTGTGGAGAGAAGAGAAAAAAATTAGAGATCGAATTTTTCTCCTGATTGATTTGTTCTTCATTCTGTCATTGAGCCTTGTTCTATAGGCAAAGTTTACGTAAACATGTGGGCTCCATTTGTTTTACAACAATTTTTTAAATTAAATTTTTTTTTTTTCAACATGACACTCAGTTTAACAAAATTATGGGACCCATTCGTGCCACGTGAGCATTTTTAACGGAATTTTTAATAGACTTGACGATGAGAGGCAAAGTGAGACACAAAACATCATTCAAGAAGGCAAAGTGGGTCCCTTTAACTTTAAGGGGACAATGTAAGATTTGACCAATATTTTAGGGGGCACTATAGCATTGCAGAAGAGAAGGTTGAAGAAGGAGCTTGGGAGAAAGAAAGATAGAGGATACACATAAACAAACCCAAATTAGCAGAAAGTTGAAAGAAAAAAATAATAATAATAAAAACTTCAGGATTCAATTTTGATATGCTTTTGTTGGTAATTCTTCTTGTTGTGCTTCTGCTCTGTTCTCACTTTTGAAAGAGAGGAGTTTCACAAAAGTAAAGGGTCTGATTGGATTTGAAACAAAAAAAAAAGAACAAAAAAAAAAAAAAAAAAAAAAAAAAAAAAAAATTTCTGAATAAGAATGTGTGTTTTTGTTTCAGAACCCAAAATTTTATATATTCTATCTTTTGATAATGTTTTAAAACCAACAAAGGTAATTGAAGAGCATGGTTGGAAGTACAACTTGTTCAATATTGTTTCCAGCTCACCTCTGCGTTTCTCAATTCTTTTGTTATCGAAACCATAACTCTGTTTTCTTTCGGAAAGTGTAACTATACAAGATTTTGCTTCTTGCCATCAATTAATTCCATTTGCAGTCAGAGAACTCATGATTTTGGCAATCTTGTTTGGATTGTTTGTATTGCTTGCAAGGTTTATAATGGCATTGTCTGCAACTATTCTCAGCCATATTGATATGGTTGAAAACTCTTCACCATTTAAGCTCAACAATACCTCTGTTCAAGTCACTTGATGTTGATATCAAAAAAGCCTTTGTTGAGCAATTGCTTAATGAAAATGCCTGAAGGAGGCAACATCCGATAAATTGGAAACACCACAAGTAGCTGCTATTGCTTTTGTTTTTTCTGCTTTATTAGTCTCAATTTGGAATTATGGATGTTCATTTTTATATGTGCGTTTTTGGTTGATTATTATTATTGTTAGTCTGTGAGCTTGTGGAAAGTAATATGTGAACTTGAATTTGTAGTTTCAAGCCATGTGGATGACTTTTGCATATATATAAAATATCTAATGTTTGCATCTAGAAATATTACATGACTTTTGCTTGATATGATGTTGGGATGGTTTGGAGCTTGTCTCACCATGCACAAAGAAAGGAATAATAAAAGAGTAGAGGTCTTGTGGCTAATGGTTCGACGATTGACAAACAGACTTTTTGTTTTTGCAAACTAGGATGGCAATTACATGTTGTGTTTGCAATTACTTAGTGACGATTTGGCAATTTGCATAAGCGAAGTGTTCTTAAAATATAGGCAAGTTTTGGAAAATTTAATACTAATTTTTGGCCTTCGAATTATAATAAAAATAGTTGATAATTAAAATATTATCATTTAAAAGAAAATTTTAAAAATTTTGTCCCAGTCCTAGCATAAACCAAACACAGGATAATATTATTTTGTTATCCAGCTTCTTAGTCCGACACAGCACCAAACGTAGGTCAGTACTTAATACAGCTTAGACAAAGCAAAGCCAATCCACGACAGTCCCAGGATTTAGTTCCGTCCATAACAGTCCGCCGTACCAAACGACCCCAAGCAACACTCTTACATATCAATTTATGATTTTTTTTATTTAATTAAAAAAGGCTCCATGTCATTAACAGAGTCACTATAAAAACCCATGCCAAGTAAAATGGTGTTTTTTTTGTTTTTTTTGGTACAGAGGAGGGCTAAAGCCCCAAACCAAAAAGAAACTAAACAGAAACTAGACAAGGTCTTGCAACACCTTGAACATCAGCAGTTAACATAGCACTAAGAAAAAGCCTCCAAAAACACATGGAGGCCGGGACCAAGTAAAATGGTGTTTTCCAAATCTTGTCGAAATTTTAAAATATTTAGGTCTATATGTATGGGAAAAAAAAAATACTAATTAAATTTAACACAAAAAATTTGACACAATAAAAAGTTAATATAAGAAAATCAAATTTACATGTTTGATTTTACATTTTTTCCATTGGAGCAGAAACATGATTTACATCCACAGGGCAATTTTTGTGAGCCTGTGGACTTGGATTTATTTTTTTTTTTGGGTTTTTTTTTTTTTTTTTTTTTTTTTTTTTTTTTAATAATTAATCAAATGAGTAAAAGAAAAAAAACTTATATATATAATTTGCAGTAAGTATGTTCGTATCAGAATTATAAATTCTTTCGTTTTCATCCATTAAATAATATTTAAATACTTACAAAGTTAACCCAAGAGAGCTTGAAGAAAGGTTTGACTTTTTTTGTGTGGTTGTAAATTGTGTTTATTTTTTTGTTCAAAAACTTGTGTGTGTGTTTTGGGTTGATTGTTTAGACTACATATGTGCTAGCTTGAATAAGTGGAGGGTGAACCAAGTTTCCATTGGGGTGCACCCAAGCAGAGACAAACATTGTTTGCTCTACCTTCAAATTCTAATTGTGGCTGCAAGTGAGCTTCTTTCTCTTCTAGGGATTTTGTTTTTTGAAATTTAACAGCTTGTTTTTGTTATTTTATAGTATTATTTTTTATTGTGTGTTTCCCTTTGTTTCCCAATTTGATGCTATTTCTGAGTTGAACTTGACGCCTTTTATAAGTTCAAAGAACCTTTTTTTTAAGCTGCCCTTGTTTGTATGTAATGCCATTTTGCTCATGTGACATGTACACTACTGTTTTCATTTCGAACAAAAATGAATGCCATTAGGAAAACCATTGCTACAACAAGTCAGGTTAAATAAAGTCACTTGATAAATGTTCGAAAACTACAATATCAACCATGTGTACTTTCAAGGGAAAATGTTCAAAGTCGAGGTTCAACATCATTCGATCTTAAAAGGAAAACTCCAGTAATTGTAATGGAACCCTATATTAGGCGTCATCATTAGGCCCGCAGGCCCATAGGCCGATTGGAGCCTGCCCAGCCCATCGAGAAAAAGCTCGGCCTGTTATTGAGTGGGCCGGGCTTGGGCTTGGATGTCTAAAGCCCAACCCCGCCCATAGGCCAGGCCCGTTTGAGCCCAAGAAGGTCCGGCCCGGCTCGCCCATAAAAGCTCGGCCCACGGGCTCACATACATATAAATAAATATATAAAAAAACCCAAGTTAAATGAAATATGAAAAAAAAAATTATCTATTATCACTGTAAAAACTAAAAAAAAATTAAGTATGAGATAAAATATGATTTCATTAATATGGGGTTGTATAACTACATCTTTATATTTCTGGTAAAAAAAAATATGAAGTTATGAACAAAGAAAAAAATGGAGACATAAACATATAGACAGATGTAATTAGAGAACTATGAAAAAAAAAAACAAAGAGGAAACACAGAAACACACCAAAACATAGAAAAAATAATAATAAAGTATTGACAAAAAAATACATATTTAAAAAATAGACAAAATAAAGTAGACCCAATTAGGCCCGACCCGACCTGATGGACTTTTTCAAGCCCTGTCCATAGGCTAGGCTTGCGCTTTGAATTTAAAAAAAAACTCAGCCTGGCCCAACCCATTGACGAGGCCTACCATATATGTATACATATAGATAATAAAACAAACTTATCCCAATATACATGTTATATGGTAAAACGTCATCGAGTAGATAAAAAAAAGCAGGGAAAATAAAAGATCAATTTATCAAAAAATCTGCACAAGAACAAGAACAAGTGTTTAGACTTCGACGACCAATAAGATAAAAGCAGAGATCCCACTTAGTTAACCTTATTGTTGCTCCTGCTTCCCTCCCTGTACAACTCTCAACTCCATTCCTACCAATAGGATAAAAGCCGAGATCCCACTTAGTTAACCCTTTGTTGCTCCTACTTCCTTCCCTTTGCAAATCTCAACTCCATTCCTACTGTTGATGCTCTTTTTGGGAGGGTTAACTTAGGTAAATGAGTGCTGGATCTTCAGCGGGAGGAGAAGTTTGTGGACCTTTGGCATGGAGAGATTCTGCATAAGAAAATAAGGAAGAAGCAGTTGTCAAGCTTCGGGCACTGGTGTGGTACTTGCCGAAGGCTCTCCGATACTTAAGTCATCGATATGTGGTAATTTTGGAAGAGTAACAGTAAAGGTGAAAAATAGTTACTTATTTTACTCGGGCACTGTGCCCTGTTTATATGGAAGTGAAATTGGGAGTTTTGCACAAAGTTTCAATGTGGGACTTTGTGCAAACTGTTGTAGAGGTGACACGTGTCCTTGAAAACTAGGTTATGTAGTTGAGAGTGTCGGCATGTGGTTACCACTTCAGAATGGGGGCCTTCTTTTGGTAGGTTAAGAAGGTGATGCTGTTACTCGCCTTTTAATGGCTTGTCTATGTGTCTTTTTCAGAGCGCTGCTTCCTTTTGGTAGTCAGTGCATCTGCCCAGGTATCAGTCGTCTAATGTTGAATAAGCTTGGTTGATTATGGTGTAAATAGTAGTCTCCCAAGTTACCAATCAATGAATGGCTTCTGGGTTGGGAACTTGTAAGATGTTAAGTGATTAAATCGAGCGTTTCAGTATGACGGGTGTCGTAGGCATTCCCCTAGTCCCCCAAGTTCTGAAGCTATAAGGCACAATTGTTGGGAAGGTCATTCCTGAAAGGGTACATTTCTGATACTGGCACCGGGGGGGAACTGAAGGGAAGTTATGGCGTCATATACTTGGTGTTTGAGGTATGTGTAGCTTCGGCACAACGGGTGCCGAAGAGGGTGCTATTTACATTTAGCAAAGTTGCATTAGGCCTGCTAGCCTTTAGTGCTTGGTGTCGAAGCTAAAGGGAAGTTGCGCGCCTTGACCTCCTAATCTTCAGCACGCGGGTGCTGAATAGGATAAGTGATGTATTCGAAAGTGCACGTGAGTCCCATCGAAGCTTCGGCATGAAGTGTGCCGAACAGAAGGTGTGGCGTCAGCGAATGTGCGCATGAGTCCCTTCAGAGCTTCGGCACGAGTAGTGCCGAATTGAGGGTATGACATCAATAAAGGTTCGCGTTAGTCCCTTCAAAGCTTTGGCACGGGAAGTGTCGAACGGAAGGTGTGACGTTAGCGAAGGTTCGCGTGAGTCCCTTTAGAACTTCGGCATGGGAAGTGCCGAACGGAAGGTGTGACGTCATCGAAGGTTGGTGTGAGTCCCTTTGAAGCTTCGGAACGGGGTGTGCCAAAAGAAAGGTATGACGTCAACAAAGGTTCCCATGAGTTGCTTCGTAGCTTCGGCACGGGGTGTGACGTCAACGAAGGTTCTCGTGAGTCTCTTCAAAGCTTCAGCATGGGGTATGCCCAAAAGAAGGTATGAAGTCAACGAAAGTTCGGTTGAGTCCCTTCAGAGCTTCAGTAAAAGGGTGCGCCGAACGGAAGGTGTGAGTCAGCGAAGGTTCGCTTGAGTCCCTTCGAAGCTTCTGCACAGGGTGTGCCGAACGGAAGGTATGACGTTAGTGAAGGTTCGCATAAGTCCTTCCGAAGCTTCTGCATAGGGTGTGCAGAACGGAAGGTGTGATGTCAGTTAAGGTTCGCGTGAGTCCATCCGAAGCTTCGACACGGGGTGTGCCAAACTGAAGACGTCAACTAGAGTGGCCACGTGTCGGATGAATGTGAGAGGTTTTTTGTGGGGATCAAGTTGTTTTTCCTAATTGGGTTGGTTGGGAGAGAGGGGCGACGTTTTTTATGTTGAGGTGTCCTTTGTGAGCCTTTAAAAAGCCATAAAGGGCTGAAGAGGGAGTCACTTGTGCCTTCCAAGTTTGTGTTGAGTTTTTGAAAGTGAAAGAGAGGGCGATTTCCGGCAGCTGTGCAATTTCCGGCGGTGTTTGGAGCTGCGGAGCGATTTTCGGCTAGGTTTTCTAGCTTTCATAACACGGTACATTCTCATTTCATTGCTTTTTTGGATTGAAGTATGCACTTTGTTGAGTTTGTACATGAACTCGGATGAATATTGATGAACTTTGATGAATATGTGTAAAGTAGGGAGATTAGGCATGCCATGTTCTTTGGAAAGTTGTTCAATCTTCACATGCCCATTAGTTCGTCTTGATTTGTGTTTGTAGATATTTGATAATTCTGAAAGAGAGAGCCAAAGTCCGCAAAGTACCAATGCCTTCAGTGGGGAGGACTTGGAGAGTGATTTTCATGATGAAGCCTTGGGTTCGGATGGGGAGGGTACTAAGTCTAATGGTATAGTGGATGGTTGACAATGAAGGGTTCAACCAATAGAACTAGTTCAAAGCGGCATCACTAGGGGTGGAAGATTAGTGTTGCAGTCGAAAATTAAAACACAAAACATATCAAACTCCTAAAGAGTTCCTAAGAATTAAAATAAAATACAACAAACTCCTAAAGAGTAATATACTAAAACAAATGAACAAAGAAACATGACCACCACTCCACATCCTCTCCGGCAATCGAATATACTCATAATGTTATACCGGTTAAACCCCAGCCCACACAAACTCACAACTTCCATGATTGTAACTCAAACTCAAAATTGGAGCTAAACCCCTGTGTATGTGGGCCAAAATGGCAACTAAATTATGGCGACAATGATGTTTTGCAGTGGCTGCTTCAACGTCAGCTACAAACCACTATAGCAACCACTGCTAACCCACTGACGTCGGCACCGCCACCTCCGTGTGCAACTAGAAACAGAAAATAAAAATAAAACAAAAACCAAGATTCACGTGGATCTGGAGCCTCTTCACAAACAAAAAATCCAATCTTTAGCAGACGAGGAAATGGAAAAGGAAAGAGAAAGGAAGATAGGAGGGATTGAAAAGAAGAGATGAAGGAAGATTGTGGGGTAGGGGAGGAGAGGCAGAGACCACCTCTCCCCCTTTGGTGCGGTGTTGAAAGGTATGGGGGGCTAGGGTTTTTTCACTAAGACAAAAAATTACCATTATATAATATATGATTTAAAGATAGGAATCCATTTGAAGATTTTTTCATTGCTTATTGTCTTTAACTGGGCTGGCTTACAAAGCAGCATTGTGGGTCTAAGAGTAGTCCATAAACTTTGGTTATTGTCTTTAACTGGGCTGGCTTACAAAGCAGCATTGTGGGTCTAAAAGTAGTCCATAAACTTTGGTTGTGAGTTGCAATGAGCTCAAAAGCCCACTAAGGAAATTTAGACTGCCTTTACTTACTAGCAAAATTCTATAGTGAGGGTGCCATATATGGACCCCTTATGTGGACCTTCATGTTAATCACAGTATCATTTCATTTAACTTAAGTGAAATTACTATTCAGATGAATCTTGTGGCTAATATGAACGTCCATATTTATAGTTCATATATGACACCCTTACCATAAAACGACTCTTACTTACAAACTCTTCAGAGTTTTTATATTTTGCTATACATTGCAGTGACTTGGATGCCACGCTACTTTATGGCCGCCCTTTTGTTTGGGTTTATTATTGTGATGTTTTGGGCAAAATTGAAGTCCAGAGTTTGGTTCGTGGCTGTGTGGTTGAATTGGGTAAGAAACGCATTCGTGATACTGAACTTGGGCTCTTTTAAATTGAATATGACATTGCAGAATAGATATGACAATCCTACTAATCTTGCAATGATCTGGACCAATAACAGCTTTTAGCAGCATGTCCAGAAAGTCCGAGACCTAAGACAACCATAATATAAATATAAAGTACTCTTAGGTATGGGTCCAATTTTGCTGTGATGTAATGGATGCATGACACTAATTTCCCCTTGTCAATTGTAGTCCACCAAGCCAAACGTGTGACTATGTAAGTTGTTCTTATGTCCACTATAGTGAATGAAATTCCATGATATGCCATTGGTTATAAATGGAAAATTTCAGCATACACATCCCTAAAATTCCGTTTTCTCCTTCATTTGTGCTCCATGAATCCAAAACTTTTTTGCATTTAATTAATGGTTGTGCAATGGTATAAATATTATTTTTGAAATTTCAATTTTTTTAGGTTAAAAAGAAAAATAAATCACAATGGCATAACCAAAACTAACTTAAGAAAAATTAAACACAACAAATTTGTAGAGGTAAACCATTCTTAAATAATTAATAAAGCATTGGACTCAAAATTTGAGTCCTATACAATTGGAGGAAAAAACTGTTTGAGTTCGGGTAATACATGAATAGTTGTATTTTGGAGGGTGAAAATTTAAGACAAATTTACCCCTTTATAAAATGACTTTTAAGGACTTATGAAAATGATTAAAAAAAAATAAAACAATTGCCTCAAACTTAAAATTAAAAAAAGTTTTAAAAAAATCCAAAGCACAAAGATCAAATGTCAAATCCAAAGCACCCCTCAACTTCTTATTTTATCTCCGTCCTAAAACCCTAACCCCAAAAGTTTTGAGTCAAAACGATGGATTCTTCATTAGAAACTCCAGTCATCATGTACTCCTCCCATTTGTAGGACGCCAACAAATCCCAATGATCGACATGGCAAAAGTCTTCTCTTCCCACGGAGCAAATCCCAATGTAATCAGATGCTCATGTTGAAAATATGTTCTATTAGTTTTGTTTTGGTCATCAAATCACTCCAATTAGAGCAAACAATTGCTTTTTTCAGTCATTAAATTAAATTTAAATGACTCACAAGTTAACAGAAAAGAGAATTTGCTTGAATTAATAATTAAAGGGTATTTTAAGAATAACGGTGGGTGGAAAGATAGGATTATAATTTTTTTCAAATTTACATGGTAAGTGGGAGATAAGGTAGGTGAGAAAATAAGACAGGTGGGTAGAAATAGCAGCACTCAAAAAAACACAAAAGGAGGATTGAATTGCAACGGCCAATTGAATTGCATGATTTCAAAAGTAAACATACTCCTTTTTGAAGTTACTTGCATGATTTTTTTATTTTTTATTTAACGGCATTTGAATTGCAACGGCCAATTGACTAGGAGCAGACATATGGGATGGGTCATCAGACAAAGCCACCAGCGCTGGGCCCCATTGTTTTTCCGATGCATATGGGTTTGTCTTTTTCTTGGAGGGCTCCACTGAATAGTTTTGGGTCCAGGCAATACTTGGACTGGTATTTGGATCCAAATTTGGATTTTCCCAAATTTTAGCCCCTTATTTTCTTGGGTTTGGAGAGGTTTTAGGCAATAATTTGGGATATTTTGGGTTTAGATCCTTGGGTTCGAGATGGCCTTAGGCCTTCTCCAACTCATTTGGGGCTAAACCCAAATTTTCCCCCTCCAAAAAGTAACAATTTGGGTTTTGCTCGGATTCAAACCATTTTTCCCCCCAACCCTCCATACTCAAATTCTAAGTCCACAACTTTATTAAATTGTTTAAGAATGGTTAAGTCTAATTTTTTTATTTTTAATATGGATAACTTTTCTTCATTTAATCTTTTTAATTAACTTCATAATTTAATTTTTTGAACAATTTGACCTAAAAAAAATTGAAATTCCACAAATATAATTTTATTCCAAAAGAAAACACATAACATAATTAAAAAAAAAAAGCACTTAATACTTCAAATTCACCATACATGAAACCTAATAGGAATAAACTAATAACCATCATCGTGGGGGCTAGGATAATAGTCCCTTGAATTGTCTTCAAGATTAATGGCAAACTATTGACCCTGTGCATGTTCTTGCATAATTTCATCTTGTTTATCCCCCTAATACTTCTTCTTTCTTGAAGTAAATTTGGACACATTCATGGACATTATTTTAAGATTTTCCAAGCATGGTACAGCTTGAAAGGCATATTCGGAGGCTTATTATCATTAAGAAAGATCGATTCCGCATACACGTTCTACACATGAATAAAAAAAAGTTTGGAGTTGAATAAAATTACAAATATAAATTTAAAGCTTTAATAAGAATGGGTACTTACCACAACATGTAGATTTGAGCCACTTTGCGGGTTCGTATTGGCTTTAGTCAAGCATGCCTTCCAAAGAGAATACTGTTGGTTGATAGTCTTGAACTGAGAAGCAATGGCTTGGTATATTCGTCGCTCGAGTCCACTAATACCCGTATCATTTTCCAGAAACTTTTCATAAACACACCTTCAAAATGTGTCACTTGCTTGATTAGTGCCAATAGCCTCATCTTTACTGAAGGAAACTGATAAGTTCATAATTTCATACATTCGCATGTCTTCTTTACTTAGTGACTTTACTTAGTTTCTCATTATTTTGAGTGACTTACCTCTTTTTGTTTGTTTTGTAGGTTAAGACAGCAAGAGATCACATTTGATGCAATCCATGCTTATTAAGGGTTGATTGGGATAAGAGGAATATGAGCTTAAAGACAAACCCAGTTTGGGCTACACTCCTTGTCAGTCCAGTTTCGTGGGTCATCTTGCAGTCTTCATTTCAGCAAATTACACAGGTCGGATGAGGAGACATCCTTGATAGAAGTTGTTCCAATGGATGTCTATTATAACATATCCAAATTTCAGCCCAATTGGATTAATCTGGAGCCCTCAGCACATCAAAAACTAAACCAAGTTCACAGAAATGTCATGTTGGCTACCATCACATTTAATGTGGCTACATCCCTAAGAGCCATGTGCTACACATGAGCAGCCATACATGGGAGTCAAATCAGCTCAGGAACTCAGAAGGATGAACAAAAGTCAAGCTTTCCATAAAGAAACCATACCAAAGCATGTACTTGGTTGCTGGAGCAGTTGGCAAGTATGGACAACTGGAGCAGTTGGCAAGTATGGGCAGCTGGAGTAGTTGGGAGCAGCTAAGAGAGGTGTGCTTCACCAGCCAAGGGGGAGGACGAAATTGCACTCTATAAATAGAGAGCTTCACACTCATTCAAGAGAGAGAGAGTCAGATACACATTTTCACTTCATCCATTACTCTCATACACACATTCATATTCACCACAAAGAGAGAATAGAGCGTGGAGCTATACTGGGAACTACATTGCTGCCAGCTAGTTCTTCTCTTCTCTTTATTTTATCTATGTATTTCTTATTTTCTTTATTCATAGTTATGTCTAACTAATCCATTTAGTTAGGGCTTAGGATGAAGCCCTAGTCATGAATATTCAATGTTATAGATGATTTTATAGTTAATTGATTTCCTTGCTTTCTTTATCAAGTTGTTAATCTCCAGTTTATTATGTGCTTGATGTATGTTTTCTTGGAGTAGCTAACTAGGATTTTATGCATCTAGCACAGGTTGAGAAAGGGTTTAGATTCACCAATTCTACTCTCATTTCACAAACAACACATGAATGACCTAAGAATCATTCAAAGGGTTAATAACCATAGGTTGATTAGGACAGATACCATGTTCTAGGACTTGTGTGATTATCATATTCTCATGGAACTTAATGACTCTTGTATGCTTTATTCTAAGTAGATACCATGTTTAGGTTGCATATTAGAGATCACGTGTTGTGTAGATACCATGCACAATTACATGCCTTAGGAGAATCATGCATCCTGCACCTAGATACCATAGGCTTGTATGCGATAATCTATTGTTGATGAAGCTTGAGTCAATTTCTATGCATTCATAACTTGGATAAGAAAACTAGTGGTGGATTCCAAGGCTCTAACATCTCTCAATTATTGTTTCACAATTTATCCAGTGTTTACTTTCGAGCACTTTCATTTCACTTTCTTTTTTCATTTCAACAACAAAAACCCCATTTCGAGTGCGTGTGTGGTGCTAAGATTCTGTCCTATACCTTGAGTAATTAGCAATAGGCATTATTGAATTCGGCCTTGCCTTTAGCTAGTTACTCAGTTTTTTTGTTCTATGTTTTTCTAGCATTCTAAGTAATTTAACTTGGAACCAAATTACCATTCTCCGTGGGATCGACCTCGTATTTACATAAGCTATACTATAAACGGTTCGTGCACTTGTGAGAATTAAAGTTGCTGTTTTTAATAACTCATTTTAGTTGTTAAGAAAAGGCTCAACAGAAACCCACCCTTTGCACAATGCCTCATCTTCGGGCCTCCAATTCACACCTCTTTGAGATTTTGTGGACATCTTCAACAAGAATGAAAGGAGATTGATGAAATTGGCAAAGGAAAAAATAATATGAGAAATATAAAAAATAGTTTTGGTATATTATTTGAGAAATTGTTGGGTATTTATAGAGTTTGGAATAAGTTTTGAGGTTGGATTTGATTTAGATTAATTTTAAATATTATTTTGACCATTAGATTTAATTTTAGTTGTTGGAATTTTTTTTTTACCGTTAAAATAGCTTGGATTTAATATGGATTGTTGATTGGAGTTACTATTGGAATTATTTTAAGGAAAAAAAAGAGAGAGATGTTTGAATTGTTGGTGCCATTGGATTCCAACAACAACATCACCTGTTACTGCCACCTGGCAAGACAACAGATGCAGCACAGCAGCAGTGCGAAGCCCACAAAATCTTCCTTACACATGGGTTGCATCAGCCTTCAGTGGGCTACACCAAAAAAAATTCCAGTCCATGCATTTGGCCCGAAGTTTGAGTTTTTCTAAATTTTGACCTTTAATTTTCTTTAGTTGGAAAATAAATGTATTAAATTTTAGGATATTTTGAATTTGGCCTCATAAGTTGAAGATGGCCTTATGATTAGAGATAGTCTAAGCTTATATAAGTTTTAGTCGCTATTAATATGAATTTTCACATCAAATTTTACTTTATTAATTAACGGTTTAGAATAATCCACCACGCATTTGCAAGGGGCAAAAATTTAATGTACTTTTCGTTCAAATTTTACCTTTTTACATCGATTGTTCCTTGCCTTGGTGGCACCTTGATCAATAAACGTTGATGCCTTTGTTGAGACCAAAAGCCTAACCAGTCACAACCACTAGTCTAGACTCACATCTTCTTTTTCTTTTGATTCACATGTCTAGGATTAGGTTTATATATAATTTGTATAATAATAACTAGACCCTTGGCACATGCTCACGCATGGGCCTATTTTTTTTTTTTTTTTTTTTTTTTTTTTTTTTTTTTTTTTTTAATTTTAAAATATTAAAAAAAATTATATTATATTATCCTCATTTAATTAATAAGTTCAATTCTTAATGTTTGAATTAACCAAGGGCATTTTCTGGCATTTTGAATGTTTCACCATTCTCTGCATTTTGCTTTATATATATAGATAATAATAATAATAAGATTAAAAAAAAAATCTACAGCTCTACACTACACGTCTCTCCCTGCTATCCACTCTCTCATGTGGGTCCAATGATATTTCCTCAAAGATTTGCCACACCTGCAAGTATCATCAATCTCTTCAATTTTCCAAACCAATTCTAATTTTAAGTTTTATGGACAACGTTAATAAATGTGCATACAGATTTTTCTTGGGTGGTGATTTTCTTATTCCTCTTTTATCAACCTATACTTTCTTTTATTTTTTAATACTTTTTACTATAAGATAAAACGGAATGTAAGCGAACAAAAGAGAAATGGGAACATACTATTTTAAAAAAATGGAGTATAAATGGATAAAAAAGAAGTGGAAAAATTAGTACCATTTTTCTTTTGTCATAAAAAAACGTTACACACATACATTGCTGCCATAATGCGTAGACAAAATTATCTCACATACATCAATGGTCTATCAATCATTCGTTAATCGGAGTTGAAAATGGTATATGTAGCATGAGTGGGTCTCATCCCAACTATGAAGATTTGAGAGGAGAGCATATGATCAGCATACCACTCCCAAAGAGACAATGAGACATGAAAAACTGGAGTCGAGGGTGTTGAGGGCAAAGGGAAAAGGTCCCAAACGAACCAAGGTGTCCTAGTCCCTCCCAAAGGGAGCATTTTGTGACACGTCCAATTCACAATCCCATTCCAATATTCTCTCTACCAGACAAGATCTTGCAAGCTTATCTCTCCAACTCAACCAAATCAAATTCAATCCCGATTCAACACTCTTGTATGTGTACAGCACGATACAGCTCCTTTTTTATCTTTCTCTTTTTCTTTTTCTTTTCTTAATTATAAATTTTATTTGTTTCAAGCTAATCCACTAACCCATTTCAACCCATTTCTTTTTCTTATAACATTTGAACATCCTAACCATAGGAAATGGTATTTTTAAATGATTTTTGGAGGAAAATAATGTGTTACAAGTTTGAATTGCAAATTGTTTGTCAAAAGAAGATTTTAATAACATGTGAATCTTATGAATACTCAAAAGTGAATTATAAAGATGCAAATAAAGTCAAAGTCAAAGAACTGGAATTGATTGTTTAATGGAAGATTTTAGAAAAGTAATCAGTTAATCAGTAGTATTAATGTGCAAATCACAGTCATATATAAACAAACAAAAGAAATCAAAGGCAAACAAAAACAAAACCAAAAAAAGAGGAGGTAATTCAACAAAAACCAGTTAAACGGCTAATTGCAGTTTGGCCCTGATGAATAAAAAGTGATTGCGTCGGGTTCGGTTGATCTAATCAGTGTTCGTCATTTTGAGCCGTCGGATTGGGGAATCGAGCGACGTCGGCGACGAGGGAGCCGAGAACGACGATGACAGAGGAGGGGACGGAGATTTTGACGGTGACGATAAGGAGGACGAGGGTGACGATGGTAGAATGGACGGTGGTGAGGAAGGCACATCACAAGGCTCGCGTAGCTTTCTCTTGTTCATCCCACTCTCTTCCAGTCCGGCCTCTCTCGTCATGTAGTCCTTGAGCCTCTTCACGTCCGATAACTTCACCGGTTTCACTATGAAGTCTTCTGCGCCTTCTTCCAAACACCTGGCGAACACCAAATTCGAGTTTAAAATCAAACATCAAAATCATGCACAAGAATTGATAAATTTCAATGAAAATAATTGCATTGACGAAGAAATTTACCTGTCTATGCGCGCCAGAACGTTCTCAGATGACATAATCACAACGGGAATCTCTTTGAGAGCTGAAGATTCCTTGATTTTCTTGAGCAATTCGTACCCGGTCATGCCAGGCATACAGTAGTCAGTGATAATCAGATCCACCTTCAAGCCCTATAATTTAATCGCAACGAAATTATTATTCGAAATTCAAAGTTTATTGATGAAATTTATTACGAATTTGGATTAAGATTTGTTAATCAAACAAGCTTACATCGAATCCGACGGAGGAGCTCTTGTCGTCGTCCAAGCCAAGGAATTGCAGAGCTCTCCTTCCACTATCCACAGCCGTCACTGCACATTCGAACCAAAAATCAAATTCAAAATCACATAGAGCCAAAAATCGACAGTGTTTCTCAGAAATGAAGCTCTGTTTTCAGTTTTACCTTTGCAAGAAGAAATTCTAAGCAAGCGCTCAATGACCTTGCGGTCGACGAGGCTGTCATCGACGGCGAGGACGTGAGCTTCTTCGGAGTTCATTGGCCCCATATCGAAGCCGTCGAGCCTCTCCGAACTCCTCCGCCACGAAACGACGCCGCTCCTGGCCATCTTCCGAGTCAGAGTGAGACAAAACTGGATTGGTTCTTTATTTTGGCTTGGTTGAAGAACAAAGGCTTGCTCTGCCTTTGTGGCCAACGTTTTGTACAGAGGAGAGAAAAAAATGAAAATCAGGTAAAATTGTCTGTTTCCGTCGCCAGCGTGCTGCGTGTGTGTTTCTTCTCTCTGTAATATAGTATTGCTATGTATTGGTCTCTTTCGCAAAACCAAATCTTTTCTCTCTCTACCAAATCTCAAAAATCTACTCTCTTTTATTTTTTCGTTCATTTTTTTAATTTTAAGCCATAAAACGCTGAGATTCTGAAATCCACTTTGGTGCGATCTTCCAAATCAAACCCCGGTATCTCGGCCATGGCGAGATATTGGTCAATGTCGGGGTCTGTGCTGGGTAACGGGTCGAGGCGTTGACCGGTGGTCAGCGGTGGGCCGCGCCGTCAAATCGTTGGGTGTGGAATTGCGAATTGGGAAGTGACAAGCGCGAGTCCCGAAATGGGGGTATACAAACGCGGGAAAATTAGTGGGAACCGGATTTTGCCGGTGGCATTGACTGTGGGTTTGGTACATACATAGTGACCGGGGGAGTTCCCCGAGTGGTGCAGTGTTTTGTTGGTTTGCAATAAAAAGACTTTGGCATCAGTATCTCCTCGCGAATCTTGGCTTGCCCCCACCACCGCCTCTCCTTCCACGTGCTACCTCGTGCTACGTACCCCCTTTCTATTTTTCTTTTATGTATATTTTTATTGTGGTAACGGTTATTTATTTATGAGAGATAATTTTCTTACTCATCTTTTATTTACTTACACTATTTTTATTAAAAATTGTATGTTCACAGTCTTTTTTTCTTCACTTACATTTTTTTTTGTTATAGTAAAAATTATTAAAAAATAAAAAAAGAATGTAAGTAGATAAAAGGGCAGTGGGAAAATCATCACCCTTATTTATTTATAATCTTTACATCAAAATAAAAATTACAACTAATTCTCACTTTGGATTTTAAATTCCGAAGATCATACAAAATTTTACAAATAATTGAAAAGAAAAATTAGTGAACCAAATTAAAAATTGAGTCTGATCATGACCTAACATCGCGGAAGTATATGCTACGATACTGCAGTTAAGGCTTTGAGGAACTTAACATTAGGAAAGTGAAAGGTGATTATTGCTTAAAACTTAAATAAATGAAAAAGAGCATTTAGGTTTTGTTTGGTGTGTAAAGCTTATCCCGATGGCCATGGAATATGGACCATAGTTTATTAAAGAAAAATATTTTCTTTTTTGGTAATTGAAGAAAATAAAAGTTTGGCCAAGGTCCCAACATGGGTGTGTGTACGTGCCAAGACAACGAGACAAAAGATAGAATTGAGGAGATTTGGAAGTCCCAAAATAATCTGGAGTGGGACCAAGATTGGCCTTTTTCATGGTTGGACTTTTGCTACCAATATTCAAAATATATTTATTCAGACACTGCAGATCAAATCTGGGAGATATCGTCGCTCGTACTGTCTTTCCAAGATTGATTTTCCATCCCATACTCATATTTACAACCGATTTGATGGTTGTCATCACTATATCTTCATCCGTGGTTTCATCTGTTCTAACGTGTGACACAATTTGTGCCCAACGTTTGGTACAGTTGTTCGTTGGTTTACATCGCTTATCAACTTAAAAGCGGCCACGAGTAGTTAATGTATGTGCGGTGATGTATTTTAGAATTGATACGTATGAACGATGGTTTTATATGCGTGAACGATTATCGATAACATTATTCATTTCAATCTTGAGACTTGTTATTAGTTTGTAATTTTTTACGTAATTGTGGGCTACATAAACGTTAAAAACCAACAACATTCGTTTTTCGTTATGTATTTCCTTGATGATTACATACCAACAATGTACTAATTTTGTAAATTTTAGGGTACATTCCAACAACTAGCATTGCTAGATACATGCATTTACACCCACCTTTCGGCTTATGACTTATGGTATGGTGGCTTAAATTATGGGTTGAAATCTTCTAATCAACTAACTAATTAGTCCTAGTATCCACAGCACGTTATAGTATTATACAAAGGTTTCAAATATTCGCCTTGAATTTGGAAGAGCTATTAAGAATTGGTTGACTTTGTAATCATGAAAAGCATTCATAAACCAACTCTTTTTTACAATGAGATCCAATTAAACGTTTCACTTCGGTCAAACATAATCTCAAATTGGGGCATCAATCAGGTCCCACAAATTTATATTGCCCCGGCACCTTTGCATGATTATCAAAAGACCATTGATAGTGTGGGGCCAACACTCCCCACTGTCCCATATACCGTCCATCGGGCCAGCTTTGCACACATTCTACTCCATTATTTATTGTCAATTTGTAAATAATATGGCGCTTCATATAGCCCAATGGCTACACGGCCTATTTCGTTTTTTAATTATGGCATGGCAGGCAGACAGTCATAACTAACTCTATGGTCCCTCCGATTTATCGATGAACTTGAAATCTCTTTCAACATCAGGAACAAAAATATCATCACATGAATTATTTATCATTCATGCAAAAACTCAAACATCTCAGGTTTAATAAAATTAGTGCCACCAATAATTTGGAAAAAACATATTTCTCAACGAACATTTTTATATTTGTGGAGGTAAAAAAGTTTTTGTGACTTTGGAGGTAAAAAAAGATGGAATCACCGCGTGTGAATGATCCTTCTTTTTCTTTGAAGATATGGCATCTTGCTTTTTGTAATTGAGTGTGATTTGGGGCATCTTTTTCTTGTAGTTCATTGTACTAACAAATTTAATTTATTGGAGTATTGGATATCTCTTTACCAAACAGGCAATGAGAACACCTTCCATCTTTTCAACACAAAAACACAAGGACATTTTAGGTTTGAAGATATGAGAGAGACAATTGACTAAACTGAAGATGATGGGAATATAATATTTGATTGAAAGGAATCTCATCACTCAGAAAATAATGGCATTCAAGGGAGAAAAAAAATATGTTAGGAGGGCTCAGAAGCCATGCTAGATGAATGGTGGAAAAATCATGTGGTAAATTTTCTTTTGTATTTTTGTTAAACAAGGGAGATACCATCAAGATTTCAACATTTTAATCTATGCTTATAATACAAAGTGTATTTTTTTGGGGATTGAAAAGTTTAGTGTCCTCTTTTTGTGCATGCTTAAACTAATAAACTTATCACTCAATCAGTTGTTGGATGGGTTTGATTATTGAGAAAATGACAGAAAGCTGTAGGGAAAGCACAGAATCTTGCAACAGCCAATCCAACCGACCCCATTTCCATTCATATGGAAAATGCAAGCTGAGAAAAAGGTGGAAATGTTTTGCTTTTTATAAAAAATTTGTTGGTAGTGTGTGGATATATTTTGCTTAACGAGTCATCTTCCTAATAAAAGGGAATGAAAATGACTTATATTTTTGCGGGTGCTTGTGTAATGAGAGGTTATGTTAAGGGGTACAATGAAGGGTTTAATTTAGCAGTCCAATAATAATTATGCATAAGATCGAACGATTATTGAGAACCAGTCTTTTAATGGGCTTCAAACTTCATCATGAAATGGGCTTAGTTGCCAATATGGGTGACTTGGAAAGGCCCAGAGTTTTCCAAGGGCCGCAGTCCGTGCAGTATAAACGTGCCCAAGTTCAAACGGAAATTGAGAGGAACTGAGGAAGAGCAAAAGCTTCCGCGAAACTATGGAGTGTGCCGGGAAGAGACAGGGGACTCGGTGCACAGGACCAGTCACGAGAAGATGTGCTCGCTGTGGAGCTGTTGCTTATTGCTCTGTTTCTCACCAGGTGCTTCTAATTTGTATGACTTTTTTTTTCGATTGGCTGTGCTTTGAAAGCAAATCAGAAATTCATAAGCATGCTGCAAAACATGGACGGCTTAGTTTTAAAAATACAAGTGTGGAAATCGTATTCTTGATTTTTTCATGGCTTCTGATATTTAGCTATGTTTTTAGCTTTCATTTAAGAGAGCAACAATTGGGTTAGTCTTAACTTGTGCAGAAATGGCGTGTGAGGAGGGAGAAATTGATTTTAAAAGGTCTGTCGGCTTGGGTCTAGGTTCTTGGTTTGCAGCTTAGAATAGTATCTTCAGTGGTAGCTCATGCCCACAACAAATAAAATTGCAGTTGAGCTAATAAGACTAAAGTAACTCAAAAAACAAAGAAGTTACTGATAATGGGTTAGCTGATTATTTGGGTGTTAGCATTATAGTCCATGTGAATAGGTTCACCACATCTAGGCATGTGCCTGTATGTTCACATTGGTTGCTAAGTCTTCTCACTATGCTCATTCCCTCACAGCTCAATTTCATTATGGCTGAATGTGGTTTACTCGGTGGGTGACAATTTTTTTCTAAGTTCCATTGACAATAAAATTTTATGGTTGTCATGATTTTCCTTGAATTTAAGTTATTTTCCAACTTGATAAATATCGTAGATTGTGCATTGGCCTGATCATAAAGAAGAGTGCGGAAGGTTGGAGCAACATATGAAGCATATGGATATCTTGAATGAGTTTCCTTTCACTTTTACTCAAGAAGCAACCGTTCAGGTAATCAACAATTTCTTTCTCTTTGAAAGACAGGGAACCTTGAGTAGTGCTTTTCTATTCTGCCATCTGAGTGTTATCACTGAAGTCTCTTCTGGGTGTGATCTTTCAGGTGTGTGAAAAGCTGGAGACTAGGTGTTCAGTCTTGAAAAAAAAAGGGGTCCATCAAATGGGAATGTGGTTGTATGAATGTTGTTGTGGGAATTCAGTTATTTCCTTTGATTGTTCAAGGTTTCTTTTGTTTTTAATTGATCTGCCTGGTACATCTGAAATTCTCTGTATTAGTTTGTTTTTCATGTTGATTCTATTTCTGTTCACTTATGTTTTTTTTTTCCATTGGCAGGTTAAATAATTCTTGGGATCTCTCAAATACCTTTTGCCCATGTACTGGTATCATCTTGTTCATCTTGCTAAGATAATTCAATAAAAGTTGATATTTATTAATTTATGATGCACACATGCAGAGCCTTTATCTATGATATCGAAGCATTTAACCAGTTGGAAGGAGTACTATGAATGGAGGTCCATCCCACTGCATTCACCTGTTTCTTTGCTACTCCACCAGGTATGATATATTTGTCAGTTGAGAGTTGGAATTTGCGTATAAAATATCAAATTCAAACAATTTGTATTACATTTTGGCAATTAGTCTATACAAGAGAGTTGGGAGTATGCATGTTAAGGAACGATACCTAATTGGCTTGAATATATGGGAGCCTAATTTAAGTTTTTCTCCCCTCCAAATCCATGAATTCATTTTAATACTGTATATCTCCTGCTCGTTTTTGGATATGTTGATATGTTTCACAGATATTAACACCTGTTTCTTTGTTCTTTTCTTTTTTTCCAGCCTCTTACAATTTACTATGCCACTCAAGTAGCTGGTTTAGGAAGGTGGACTTCTGGAATCAGCCACAAATTGCACATACACTATCTTGGTATGTGTTTCATCTTTCTAAATGTGCTAATTTGCAGTATAAAGTTTGGAGCCTCTACTGAACTGTTTTTATTTACGGATGTAACATTGGGAATTTCCTTTCTTGATTTATGAACCTTTTAACAGTTGCCATGTAAGTTATCTGGTTTGCATATCTATGGTTTACTGTCAGTGTTATATTGAAAATTTAGTTTTGTTACATGAACTGAATTTTGACAGGCCCTGAGAAAGAGCTTCTTCAGCTTTCTGTCTTCTCAGAGTTGCATGCACTTTTTCCTAATGTGCACGTGCATATAGAGCTTGTTGGGCCTGCAATTCCACAACAGAGGTCAGTTCTACACTTTGAAATGATGTTCTGCATGGGATTCATCTACATCTGGTGTTTTGAATTCGAATTTACCTCATGAAGATAAAACAAGGGTTGCTTGCTTGTGTTTGGTGTCTCTTGTGGTGAGCGCTTAAAGATTACCTCTCATTTGTAATTAATTCTCCTTTTCCTCTTTGAGATGGATAGAGATGGTGAAATGATTGAGCTATGCAATTATGCCCATTGCCTTGATAGAGATTGCATATGTAAATCCTCAAGTGAGACTGTCAGCTGGGATGCACATACTAGTAAACCTTCAACAGTTACATTGCAACTTAGAAGCGGCTTTTATCATGACCGTTACAAGGATATAGCTCAGGTTGTGTACTTTCTGTCTCTTTCAATGGACATAAACATTCCTGCCAAGGATAGTATATATATATTTTTTCTCATTTAAGTCGTAGATTCATTCTTTTGCCTCCTCGGTTTTCCTTTTTGCTGTTTCTGATGACTTCTCAAATGTGGGCAGAATTCATCTCCGCATTTAATCGTTGCTCCAAATGCAGGAATTGCTGCTTATTCAAGCTGGCTACCAACTATTGTCTGTTTTTAATATCTAAACATCTCTCTTTTCAGTTCCTCTTTTATTTAAATTTGTTTCTCTTAATTTTGTTGGTTGCCTGGATGTGTGTTTCAGGAGCTAATAAAGGATATGAATATCCCAGCAGTTTTTTCCGATTACTGCAAAGAAGCTTGTCATCTTGGAGCCAGTTGCATTACTGGTGTAACTGGCTGTGCTCTCAATATCCCTGTGCGTTAAACCTTACTTGACTGTTGTTTTATAGCATGCATGAACCATAAGTGCTTAATCTGATTATATCAAAATTCATGCCTCTGTCTTGTAGATTCAATTAAATCCATTCAGGCAACCAATGGTGGTGGAAGACAGCGTTCTCTTGCTTCCTTGCTACTCGAATTGCTTCCTCTACGGGATGTCAAAGTGGTCTGTCTAAAATTATACATTGTCTCGAAGACTCTCTGTCTGCTTCTTCAAATAAGTCGCTGTGTCTCTCAGATCGAAAGGAGGACAAGTTATCAAGGTAGACAAGATTTGGTACGTGATAACGTTCTCTCCAAATGTTGAAGTTCCAGTAGCAGTTTATATGACATCAAAGTGCCTGAGCAGGTCAAGAGATTTGAACAAATCGACACAATCTCTAACGCTGTTGTGAGATGTAATCAAATGTGTTGAAATGCACGTAAATATTATGTAATCTGGCGTTTTATAACATTTTCAATTATGCTGGGGGTGTTTTTTTTAATTTCTTTTATTTTTTTTTCTTTTTTTTTTTTTTTTTTTTTTTTTTTTTTTTTTTTTTTTTTTGGAAGCATTGTTTCAATGTAATAACATGTTTACTTACATGGAATGAGAAAAGTCACGAATTAGTACATCTATCAATAAATCGGATTTTGATCCGAATCCGGTGTAATTAATAGGAGATGAATTGGACTTCTCAATCCAATAATCCGATTACAATCCGAATTCGATAATTCAATTATAAATGGATCCATATATGAATTGTAGTTGATCCGATTCAATAATAATCCGATCCAACTTAGTATGCAATATAATTTAATTTTTCTATGCATCATATTAATATTTTATATGTGTAAATGGGTAATTTTTTTTTTGGGGTCAAATGAGTAATTTTAGTTGTATATGCACTAAAAATACAATTAAAACTAATTTTTATGATAAAATATCAAAAATTGATCTAAAAAGTAGATAAATACAATAAAAGAATGATGCTACTAATGAAATTTTGATTTTTTGTCCATCACAAAATAAATATGATAATAATCCGATTCGATTCAAATCCAATGCGTAACGGATATGGATTGATAGGTGCAATTTGATAGTCTGAATCCGATAATCCAATTATAAATGGATTCGAATATATATGAAGGTATATCCGATTCAAATTCGACCCGTTTACAAGTCTACGAATTAGAGATGTTAGAGTGCAAGATCAAATGTTTTCCCTTATCAATATAAATCCTGGTTTTCAGGTATTAAATTACGTTTTAAATTTTAATGTTGGACACATAATTTTTTATTAGGTATATGAAAATAATTTCATAATAAACATGAAATCAATTTCAATCATCTTCTATATATATAAAGCAAAATTCAGAAAATGGTGAAACATTGAAAATACCAGAAAATGCATTTGGTTAATTTAAACATTAAGAATTGAAATTATTAATTAAATGAGGATACTATGGTAAATTCATATTTTTTTTTCATATTTAAAAAAAATTAAAATTAAAAACAAAATCAGATAATAAATCCTACTTTTGTGGAATATAACTATCCATATTATCTTCTCTTAACACTAGCCCCTTGGCACATGCTCATGCATGTGCCAATTGGTTTTCTTTTTTCTTTTTTCTTGTATTTTTAAAATTAAGAAAAGATAACATGGGTAGTTATGTTCCATAAAAGTATGACCTATTATTTGATTTTAATTTTAATTTTGTTTAATATGAAAATGTGAATTTACCATATTATCCTCATTTAATTAATAATTTCAATTCTTAATGTTTGAATTAACTAAGGGCATTTTCTGACATTTTGAATGTTTCACCATTCTTTGCCCTTTGCTTTATATATACTAGTCTCCCTACACGCGCGTGCGAGAGGCTTTTTTTTAATCACGCGCGCTACGCACGACTTACATGGTTTCGCAAATATTTTTTCGCAATTGTATTTATATAGATGTTTGTTTCAACAGTTTCATATTTTAATCGCGCGTGTGTGATAAATCGTCGTCTTAAAAGTTTTCATTTATCGCCCGTATTTTTCTAAACGTCTATCTTAACAGTTTACACACCAATATATATTGGTTAATGGTATTATAACTCATTGCTATATATTATTAATTAATAAAATATATAATAATATTTATCACGAGTTATTCACATTTCATTTGATGGTCAGAGGCGAATTGAAAGCTAAGCAGTGGAAATTCTAAGGATTCCCCGGATGAACATATGGTATTATAGTTATTGAATAATTATTAGGAGAAATTAATTGTTCATATTGGATGACAAGATTTGAACTCGTGACATTTTGTACCCAAAATAAACGCGCTACCAAGCTGCGCTACATCTCTTTCAATTGAACAATTAACTTATGTGGGTCTCCAAAACCCGATGAACAATTAACTTCAAGCAAGAATAAATATTATAAAAATTTAGAAATAAAAAAAATTTTCACAGGCGAATATTTACTCTTTCAACACTCAATTGTAAGATTAGTCTATGACATGACCTCTCAGAATAAATGAAAAGAACTTTTTAGTTCACTTATACCGATATAATATATTTATTGAAACTTGTTAACTAGTAACTATTTATATATGGTAGAATATTATTATATACGATAATTAGAGTACCCGGGGGGAATAACTTAATTACTAAAACAAGGTCCACGCTCATGTGAACCTCATCAACTTGTTTCCCGCGAAAAGAGAAATAAATAATACTAATAAATATCGTATATAATAATAGTGTTCGTTTAGAATAATAGTAAATTCAAGGACTAGTATTCCATAAAAGTAGGACTTATTATATGATTTTGTTTTTAATTTTAATTTTTTTAATATGAAAAAATGTGAATTTATCATATTATCCTCATTTAATTAATAATTTCAATTATTAATATTTGAATTAACTAAATGTATTTTATAATATTTTGAATGTTTCATCATTTTCTATCTTTTGCTTTATATATATATATATAAATAACTACTCACGCATGTGCCAGGGCCTAGTTTCAATAATAATTTAAGTTTTTATGCCAATATATTGACGGCTAGTCATGTGGAGTTAAAATAAATTATAATGATCAATCAAACTCAAACACCGTTCCGTAACTCCGTTCTGAGAGGGTGGTGTTTCTATCTGCGAAACGGGGCAGTAAAGCAGAGGGTGTCGTTTTCTTAAAAATTATCCAACGGACAGAAGCTAGCCAACATTCCCGCGACGTTGAACATAGAAACGTACGCACGACCCAATCGCAAAGCAATAGTAAAGTCAAAGAAAGACGAAGAATAATCCAAAATCTGAACATTTCCAACAAGACGAGACGACCATGGATAATCGTCACCTCCTCGCGCTCCTCCATTTTTGACACTCCTCCGTTTCCACGCCCCCAAAATCTAGGGTTAGGGTTTTCCCTCCCTGCAACCCTTTCTGATCAATCGGAGTTGCTCCAGGAAAAACCCATCCTATCCATCCATCAATGTCTCTCTTCTCTCGCACTCCATGGCTATTACTGCTGCTGTTGTGCTTTCTAGGGTTAGGATTAGGATTTGGGGACGCTCTCAAGGTTCCCCTCAGGATCAAGGATGTGCTTCCGGTTCTGCCACGTCAGATATCGTGGCCGGTGCTCAACAATTTCCACAGTGCTGTGGATTTGTTGCCTTCTTTTATCGGGTCGGTGACTCCTGACAATACATCAATTGAATGGGAAGGAGCTTGCTTTTCTGGTAACCAGGCTCGGCTCGAGTTCACCGAAGGCGATCGGGACAAACCCAATTTGGGAGGTGGCGTTCTCTATCTCAAGGTTCGGTCTTTATCTCGGTTTGAGCTATTGAATGCTTTTTCTGATTTTGATTGGTTTTGTCTTCAATTGAGTTAATTGTATTGGATGCTCAGCTTTAACATGAGCTGAAATCAGTTCACGGTAATCTTGGTTTGGACTTCTGAGTAGTGAATTATTGTAAATTTAGTTTCTGGGGTTGATTTTGTCAAATTGGTTCTTTTACAGACTTCTGAGGCACACAGTTGGGCTTGTATGGATCTGTATGTTTTTGCAACACCCTATCGGATTACATGGGATTACTACTTCTCTGCTCGAGAACATACCTTGAAATTCGACTCGTGGGAAGAGCAGGCAGAGTTGGAATATGTATGTACATTTATCTGTAATCTGTTTGAACATTAAGCTTGACAACCTTAATTGCTTGGAGATGACACTGTGATGACTGTTGAACAGGTAAAGCAGCATGGGGTCTCTGTGTTTCTCATGCCATCAGGGATGCTGGGGACCATGCTTTCTTTAATAGATGTTTTGCCGCTGTTTTCTAACACTGCTTGGGGTCAAAGTGCAAACATTGATTTTTTGAAGAAGCACATGGGTGCAACATTTGAAAAACGTTCTCAGCCTTGGCAGACAACTATAAATCCAGAAGATGTTCATTCTGGTGATTTTCTAGCAGTTTCAAAGATCCGTGGCCGATGGGGTGGATTCGAGACATTGGAAAAATGGGTAACTGGAGCATTTGCTGGCCATACAGCAGTGTGCTTGAAGGATGAGATGGGCAATCTATGGGTTGGTGAATCGGGACATGAAAATGAAAAGGTATCAAATTAAGGACATTTTATAGCTCATTAAGGTTGAAATATAAAGAGTAGTATGAGAAACAATTGCACCTTGGGTACATGCTTTAAATAGAAGTAACTCACTGATTTCGTTGGTTTGGACTTTATGTGGAATATAAATTAAGTTTCTAAATGTTTTGGTTCTTGCAAAGAGTGGAAGTGATAGTTGAATCGGGCTTGAAGTGTCACTTAAACAGATTATGGGCATTTGTTTAGTGAAAAAAATTAAATAGATGACAATGTTGCATAGATTTTTAAGTTTCTTCAGCTTTGGTTGGTACTTTCTCTTTCTGTGGAGTTATTGCGATTGGTCTGACTGAGTGTTGGATTGTTTTGACATTTTACATGTATTAATATTGCAGGGTGAAGAAATTATAGCGGTGGTTCCATGGGATGAGTGGTGGGAACTGGCACTCAAGGATAGTTCTAATCCACAAATAGCCTTGCTTCCCTTGCATCCAGAATTGCATGCAAAATTCAATTCTACGGCAGCATGGGAATATGCTCGGAGTATGTCCGGGAAGCCATATGGTTATCACAACATGATATTTAGCTGGATTGACACCATGGCTGACAACTATCCTCCTCCTCTTGATACTCACTTGGTATGCATTTACTGCTTTAAACTTTTGTGTGTCCTAGTACAATTAAACATTATAGAGATGAGGCAGGGTATCATTGTGTCGGTTGTTAGTTTATATTGTTATTTCACCAGCATGCACGCATGAATTTCATCCTGCGTTTCATCTCCCCACACATGCACGTATATATGTATGTACGTATATGTTTTTTTAGATGGAGCATACTTGGTTTTGTTCAGTTAAGTTTTCTATCCTAATTGGCAGCTCCTGTTTTCAGGTTGTTTCTGTCATGTCTATGTGGACCAGGATGCAGCCTGCTTATGCTGCAAATATGTGGAATGAAGCTCTCAACAAGCGTCTGGGGACAGAGGTAATTATGCTTTGCTTGAGGTTTTTCATTTTACTTTTGGTGTCTATTAAATCAACTTACTTAAAATCCTAAGCCATGCCACATTGTTCTGTTTTGTTTATTTGGGAATGAATACGTTTGTCTGTTCCTAGAAATCTAAATCCCCTAAGCATCTTCTAATGTTATTTTAGTATATTGTCTGCTTGCTCCATATTGAATCTGATTTTAATTCTCACCTGTGTGCTTCATTTTAGGGTTTGGACCTGTACGAGATTTTAACTGAGGTTGAGAATCGTGAAATAGCCTTTGATCATTTGCTTACAATTCCAGAAAAAGATGAATGGGTATACAGCGATGGCAAATCTACAACATGTGTTGCTTTTATTCTTGCAATGTATAAAGAAGCTGGGATTTTTGGTCCTATTTCCAACTCTATCCAAGTTACTGAATTCACTGTAAGTCATTTTGCACTCACGTAGTTTTCTTTTAACTTTCATAACCGTGACTATATATGACATGGCTTTATTAAACTTGGTCACAGATTCGTGATGCGTACATGCTTAAGATTTTTGAGGATAACCAAACCCGCTTGCCAAGTTGGTGTAATGGCAAGAACGAAAAGCTCCCATTCTGCCAGATCCTTGGTGAATATCGGATGGAACTGCCTGAATATAACACCATAGAGCCATACACTAACATGAATGAGCACTGCCCCTCCCTACCTCCTACTTACGACAGACCTCTACGATGCTAAATTCAATTTCCACTAGATTTGTACCTCCCACTTAGGCATGTATTACATCATTTATCAAGTTGCAGTTGTCTATTTAAAATTGGCAAGACTTATGGGTAAGCAATGGTTATTTTCTCTGTTTCACTTGAGCTTAATAAAAATATTGTATATAGTTGTGGATGGAACAAGGAATTATGTTTACAAAGTTTGTTATTTGAAGTGGTGGTAATTGTACAGTTTATATTTCACCCCCATAAACAATCTTCTTTTTCTTCTTTCTTTGGCTTTTTGTTTTTGTTTAGACCCAAGAAAGAGAGGGTTTGTTGGCCTCAACTAGTTGTAATTCCCATTCGAATTTTGAACAGCAAAATGAATCAAAGCATGGTTTCACAATTAATCAACCGACTATATTTACAAATAAATGTAAAAGGTCACAAAAAGGACAATTTATAAATGTGGTAATTTCTCTTTTTCGACTCGGATTAAAGAATGGCAATGGCCGTGCATGTATGTTGTACAAAGATTAAAGATAAGCTGCTGCTACTGCTTTCGGCTTGTCTTGCTCTTGCTCTTGATCCAGTGGAGACCCAAATGAGCTGCAATCTTAACCCTATTCATACCATTTGATGCTGCGGCTTTAATTTTGTTAAAGCCTTCTTCCACTTTCCTAGTATAGTTACCCTTGGCACAAACAGCAGAACCAGAGCTCTTCTTGGTCTCAGAAGCAGAAGCAGGGTCTTGGTTGCTGTCATCCCTTTTATCTCCCCGTGGGGTATCGTACGGCCTATTTGATCCCATTGACAAAACCCTTTTGCACTCGAATATGAAATATGAAGAAAACCAGAGCTTTCTTGAGGGAGAGAGAGAGAGAAATCAAATCTCGGTTCTTCCTTGTGTTTTGAAAACTAAACACGATCTGTGATACTTATATTAATGGTGAAATACTTAACGCTGTACAGAAAACAGAAACTTTGACAGAGGAAGAAAAGAACCTTCTTTCAACACAAGTAACTGATCTCGTGGAACCTTGTTGGGGTAAACTAAAAACTATGTTAAAGGAACCGTGGCAGTTGTCATCTGTGGCCTGATGGAAGTTTCCATATAATATCTGTTTTTTTGGTTAATGAAACATCCGTTTTTCAAGTCAACAAAAACGTGCGTAACTACTAACAAACAGTCGCAGAACCAGAAATTTAATCGAAAGGACAACCTCAGACGATATAAACATTTTTTTAAAGTCATTATACACACAAATTTTCAATATCTTATTAATAAAACATATATATCCTCTACCTCTTGATCCTCAATTAATGCTTCAAATTTTTTTGAGGTTGAATTGATCTCCATGAAGGAAGCTCTGTTTTGTTTATTGAACCATGGACTCATTTTGGAAACAGAAAAATCAAATCAATAACCAGAATATAATGAATCAGATCGGATCAAATCAAATCCGTATACAAATACGAAATACAAAAACAAAAACAAAATGTCATAAAAATTAAAGAATGATAAAATGGTAGCATATACATATATACGTATGTAATATGTATAAATGTTCCATATAAGACGATGGAGGCAAAGCTGCATGCAGCTAGCTACTGCTTTCCGGTTGTCTTTTGGTACTTGTCTTTGATCCAGTGGAAACCCGATTGAGCTCCTGACTTCACTTTGTTCATGCCATTTGATGCCACTTCTTTTGTTTTTCCAAGCCCTTCTTCAACTTTCTTGGCATATTTCGCCTTTGCGCCGGAGCTGTTCTTGGTCTCAGAAACAGGCAAGGGGTCTGGGTTGGTGTAGTCCCACTGATCAGCCCATGAGTTCTCGTGATTTGAGATACTTGATGCCATTGTTTCAAGCAAATTAAGAAGATGAATGATTTGGTTCTAATTTTTGTAAGTAAACTTTGATGCTTTTGGCTGTGATGGGTTCGGAGGTCTATATATATAACATTAACATGAATATTATATGGATATGATGGCAGCCTGATTTTGAAAGCGCGGGTCTTCTATGACATTTTTAAAAGCAAACACGTTTCATTGACGCACTTGATTACAACTTAAGGTTCCTTCTTGCAGCAGCAAAGACTGAAAGCAACCAAAGAAACGAACCTTCTCTCTCTCCACGCAATTGATTAAATAAACTCAGCTCTCGTTGAACCTTCTGGAAATTGACAAATAAAATATCTGTCAATTAAAAAGGAACCCTCGTAGATGTTGTCACGTGTGGGCCGTGGCTGTGGAAGGTTCCATTTTCAACCTGGTTAGCTAACTATTAACCTAATGCATGATGTCAATTCTAGAAATGATGCGGGCGTTTTTCTTAGAGCAACTCCACCCATTTGCCCTTAGCCATGGCAACGGGGGGAGCTAGGGCTGCCACTATTCACGTGAATAGTGGTTGCCCTTGCAAAATCCGAATTTTGTGTTTCCACCCGTTGCCCTTGCTAAGGGCAGTTACTATTCATTTTTTTGTTTTATTCACAACTTTTTTTACCTCAATAATTAATTTGGATAATATTTTCGGATAAGATTTTCGGGTTCCTACGTGTCAATACTATTCATATCTCATAATCGGATAAAATTTTCAATTTCAAATTTCAGATAAATTATAAAAAAAAGGCTGGTATTTATAGAAAAAAATTCATTAATTTTTGGGTATTTTTTAAAAAAATTTCCGAATTTTTTCCAGTATTTTATTGCAAAAAAATTGGCTGCCGTTGGATTGGAGGAAAAAATCAGATCGGAGAGCCCAGACGACGCCACGTGGCAACAGAAAAAAAATCAAATCAGCGAGGTACTGTAGCAGAGGTACTGTAGTGTTACTGTAGCAAATACTGTAGCGCTACAGTAACCCCCCTCGTTTTGGACCTCAGGCAGAAGTTGCCTTCGGGCCAGCCTGGGTTTGGTGGGTCCCACATCTCCCCCGGGCCTGGGCTGTCCGCTGGAACACCTTTTTTTTTCCCCCCCCCCCCCCGGGCCTGGGCTTTACCGCTGGAAAGGCTCTTATAATAAGTAAATCATTAGTATAAATAGAATTTTATACATGAATGATGCAAAAGACTTTTGACATTTCTCCACATCATAATCAAAGGCAGTGGGAACATATATGGGAGATATCTTATTCCTTGGCGTGTTAGTGTTTCATATTGTTTTATCTGTTTTCTTTTAATGCTATTTTATGCATGTTCGGCGGCTGCATTGCACTTAATCTGATTCTATAACCAAATATTTTCATTCAGCTTCTTTAATTAAACTGGTGCTAATCCAATTAGATTAGAGATTGTTTGGATATGTTACCTTGTTTCCTTAATTATGCGGTCTAGCTTGACTTATTCAACTCGGATGCAGCATGCCTTCTGATACGGTGACATACGGCTGACATTGAATAAGGATATACAACACCCAATAGCATTGGCCCCAGTTATACATGTAGTTCAACTAACCAAAACACAAATAGCCGCTTTACATATGCTAGCTATAATGAAGGTTTAAAATATCGATGGTTTCAGAAATATTGGTGATTTAAGAATACAGAATTTTCAATGGAAATATCGGGAAATTATTGACATCGATAAAAATTGAATAAAAACCACACAAATTGTAAGAACAACTTGGAAATTTTTCTTAAAACTTTGGAGGATGTTTATTTAGTCAATTATCTATTACTTCATCATAAATTTTTTTGGAAGGAAATGTATTGTATGATGAGTTTAACTGATTTAAGTTGATTATATAGCGAGTTAACAAACACTGCGAGTGTATAAAATATGTAGTAATTAATAAAAGAAGATTAAATACACCATAATAATTTATTTATAAGGATTTAGTACAACATTTTGCACTTCATACATTGCATGTTAAGATACATAAGTGACTTAGTATCACATGGAGTTCCTATAAGGTTCAAATTTGAGTTATTTACACTAACACCCACTGAGGTTTTTGGCTTTTTCACAAAACTCCTTGAGGTTTTAGAAATTACAAGACCACCCTATGAAGTTTTAAATTGTTTTCACAAAACTCTTTTTCATCCAAAGATTGATTTTTTTTACAAAAAATTTCTCCAAATGACAAAGTTGGCCTTTGAGTACTTCATTGAGGTTAATTTTGTCATTTGCATAATTTTTTTTCCAATGAAAGCATCAATTTTTGGACAAACAATCAATGAAAAGTTTGTGAAAACAAACTGAAACATGAGAGGGTGTTCATGTAATTTTTGAGACTTGAGGAGGTTTTGTGAGAACACAAGAAACCTCAAGGGGTGTTAGTTTAAATAACTCTTCAAATTTTTCACTGTCTTCATCATCTCGATATTATCGATATTATAGCAATATTTTGGCCAAATATTGCTGAAGTGTGAGAGAAATTATTAACGTCACTATTTTCCAATATTATCGATACTTTACAATATGTGTATGGATGTGTTCCAAAATATTCTAGACTTGAGAAAAAAATAATATCCTCGATATTTTAATCCTTAGATATAGTGTATCTAACTTGCATCCTTACATATATATAGTCTCCTTTTATTGAGGAATCTCTCAAATAAAATATTTGAGGGACACCCTTTAAGATTCCTTATGAATATTTTTTTAACAATCCAAATGATCTATTTTTTAAGTCTACATTCATATATTATCCTTGCAAGAAATTAGACAAATCGGAAATCGTTTCCATATCCAATTGTGTCATACAAAATCAGTAAATACGGTACTTCAAGAAAGTACTAAAATTTCAATAATTCAATTGAGTGGTTAAATGATTTCGGATTCAAGTGATTTTTTTGTAGAGATGATATTTGAATGAATATATACAAAATAGACGGTTGAATTAGTGAAATACAATACAGAGTGGACCCTACAAGAATGTTTATCAAATAAATTTATTTAAAGGATCCCTTAATTGAAGCTCTCTCTCTCTATATATACACATATAAAGTTTGCGAAGAAGAATTCTTATGTTAACATGGTATTAAGAAGCAGGTTTGTCAAGAAGAAAATGCTGATGGAAAAATCCTGAATTTCAAATGATAAAGTCATTTGCAATTAAATTTAAGATTTTGGCATTCTAATAATTTGATTATTATTGATGTTATTAATAATTTGATTATACTATTCAACCGCACTGGAACGGAATCCCTCTGCCTGCTCTGCCTGTATAGAATAGCAAAAGGAAGATGTATTTGAGTATAATAATACATTTTTTTTGGACGAAAGAGTATAATAATACATAGGACAAGTCTTAAGATACATCTTGGTGCCCTTATGTGTTGCCAAGTCAATTGACAATTATTGGCCTTATACAAACTCAAATACGTACATATATAAGATGCACATCAGAAAGTAAGTAATCTAGTACGGAAGAGAAACACTCGTGTAACGGAGATAACACTTTTTATTATCTCTGACTAATAACACAATGACACGTGAGAAACTTTTCCGCGTGTCAATATTAGTGGCCATGGATCCCGTTAGAAGAAAGTTTTTTTTTTCTTTTCCTACTGTGGGGTTGGGGCCAACCAGCGATAAGATTTATAACCAGTTATTTTTTTCCACGTGGACGCTTATAACTGGTCTCAGAAACATGTAATGCCATGCAGTTCAACCCCCAACTTTGACCACTGCTCTCCTTGCTGCTGCATATATGAATGATCCTAAAGTCAAAACATCTTCCATTCTTTTCTCTGTCTATTTGGTCATCATAGACATACAATACAACTAGAAGAAGAAACTAGAAAGAAACTTCAGCTATCTACATCTTCTTGCATTATTTATGAAAACACTCCACACACACATCTAAATTCAAAGCATACAAACCTTCAGTTCAAATGCGAAGTTTTTTTTAAAAACAAAATCAAACACGCAAATTCAAATTCATTCATTAAATTGACAAAGACCTCCAATGCCAAAGACTAATTCCTATGATGCATCATGCACTAGTGTTTGCCGGCTCCAACCTTTCTTGTTTATATCTCCACTTACCCTCTTAAAATAAAACCATTCAATCTCCTCATTCAGCCTCGTTTCAAATTCCACAGCAAAGCACCAAATTAACTAAAACGACCATGAGGCTGCCGTTTCACCTTTTTCCCATTGCCATTGCTCTCTGTCTCTCATTCTCACTTACACACACCTCAGCCCGCTTCTTCCCCAACATCTCCTCCATCCCTCCTTCGCTCGTCCCCAACCTCACCGCTTCGGTCCCCACCGCCTGGGACGCTTTCCAGAAGTTCGGTAACTGCCAAGCCGGCGATAAAGTCGAAGGCCTCGCCAAGCTCAAGAAATACTTCAATTACTTCGGTTACATTCCCAATTTGCCCTCCAATTTCACCGACGACTTCGACGACGACCTCCAATCAGCTCTCAAAACCTACCAGAAGAACTTCAATCTCAACGTCACCGGCGAGCTAGACGAGCCCACCATCCAGCACCTCGTCAAGCCTCGATGCGGCAATCCCGATATAGTCAACGGCACCACTACCATGAATTCCGGCAAACCGACGTCGTCTAACACGTCCAATCTCCACACGGTTGCTCACTACTCTACTTTCCCGGGAACGCCGGTCTGGCCGCCGAACCGGCGCGACTTGACCTACGCATTCTTGCCGGAGAACAAGCTTGCCGACGACGTCAAGGCAGTGTTTTTACGGGCCTTCGAGCGGTGGTCGGCAGCGACGCCGTTGAATTTCTCCGAGACGACGTCGTTCTACACGGCGGATATCAAGATTGGGTTCTTCAGGGGCGATCACGGGGACGGAGAACCGTTCGATGGGGTTTTGGGGACGCTGGCGCACGCGTTCTCGCCTCCGAGCGGGAGGTTCCACTTGGACCTTGACGAGGACTGGGTGATCACGGGTGACATTAGCACGTCGTCCGTGACGTCAGCGGTCGACCTGGAGTCGGTGGCGGTTCACGAGATTGGGCATCTGCTGGGGTTGGGCCACTCGTCGGTTGAGGAGGCGATTATGTTCCCGACAATCTCGTCGCGGACGAAGAAAGTGGAGCTGGCGAGCGACGACGTTTTGGGGATTCAGTCGCTGTACGGCGCCAATCCCAGTTACAACGGTACGAGTGGTTCGTCTACGCCGTCCACTCAAGCACCGGAAACGTCCGCTGCTGGGGACCACCTCACTTCCGCTCCAAGGTTGTGGGGCCTCAGTGCCTTGCTGGCCGTTGGATTTCTGTTATTGTCGTTTTAGTTTTTTCTCATATTTTTTGGTTTTATTGATTTTAAAGTTAGATTTAGGTTATATTGTTTTATTATTTATAATTTTTTGGGGTAATTATTGGGGATTTGGCACTCTACTGACAGGCCATATCTTACTTACTTGTATGATTCTGCCAGTAGGGTTTTTTATTTTTATTTTTGGTATTCAGATACAGTTGAATACAGTTAGGACTCCACTTTGTACATGTATATATACATTTTTATTTATTAAATTTTAAAATACATACATTTTAATTTTATTAGCTTCAACCAAAGTATAAAATATCTGCAGGTTGGTGAGCTGTTCACCTACGATGCAATAATTGGTCTGACTTCAAACAAATAGAAGTTTTAATTTGGTACCATTCATTCTCTCTTCCGGTTGGGATACATTCAAAAGCCCATTTCCGTCTTATAATTTTGTTATGGAAGTGCAAGTGGGCCACCCGTTTTGTTATACTGGTTCGTCTTTGATTGACAAGCCCAATTACTAGTCCATGCTTATTGATTACCAGCGTCGAATGCGTGGATAGTGTTTTTAATTACTTGAACTACAAGTCTTTTACAACTAGTGTAAGCCTATTCAATAAAAAATGTTGAATGATGCTTCTAGGTCAAGGGCAAATTCTGATGAGTACATATAAAGTTACCATGAAGATGAAACCTTAACTGAATCATATGCAAGAGTTATTAATTTGTTAATTAAATAACACATGAAAGAAAATTTATACCATTAAGCAGGCCAAAAAGAAAAAAAAAGGTATGAAACATAACCATTTCATTAATTCTCAGTATGAAAGAGGAAAAGGGTTGGCATCTTCTCAATTTTGACCAAAGACAAAGAGTATATATATATATATATATATATATATATGATTCACTACAATTATGGTCCAATGTTTTGACAGACTTTTTATGTTAGTCCTTTGCATTTGGTCCGCCATGCCAAACTTTCCTAGCTAGTGCGGAGAAGCTAGTCCTTACAAAAAACAATGTGAACGATAAAGATGCTACTTGGTCGACAAATTCCACAATCTGAAAGCGGAAAGACCCCTCGCGGAGAAGTGGACCCATGCCGACCCAGATTATATATTTCCAACCCTTTTTTTAAGTCAGTTATTTGATTAATTAAATTCAAAATTCTGATCTAAAAAAGTAAAGATTTAAGCACTGCATCAAGAGCGGTGGTTAGCTATAGCATCATGAATTGCTCTAACCTAATTATACACATCAGCAAAATGACCTAAGGGCCCCATACTTTTCTCCTTTCAGTGATATTTGTACAGCAACAAAGGAAAGTGGAAAGCATTATCCTTCAAATGGCAAATCCACAAAAGCTTTCAACTCATTATTAGGCCAATTGATACCAATATCTCTTTTGCCAATCCAAAAGCTACCCAACCAAGCCATGCCATTTGGAAAGAAAAAAAAGGTCGAGAGGCTAATATATCTAACTTGCATCCTACCCCAGCAGCAGTACTGCAGCTCGTTTTGGTGGAAGAATCTGGCCTTCTCTTTATCTGATCGCCACTAGTTTATTGTCAAGAAAAGTTAGAAAATGATGGTTCCAGCGGGTCATCGCGGTCACCTTTTTGAAACTTCATATCTTCTCTTCATATAAGAAGGTAAACTCATTCTAACAAACAATACAGAAGCTTTTATCTTTCTTTATTTAAACCAAAGCTTTCTTTTAATGGGACTTGTTCCATGTCCCTTGCCATGTCACACAAGCACAGAAGAATCTCATGAAGATCACTCCAATATTTCCAATCACCTCCTCCAATCAGAAGCATCAACCACTACCTCCTCCTCTCTATCTTCCCAACCAAGTTTACCATCTGTCCTTTCTCTCACTACCTCAATCTCCAACCAACTTCAACTTGTTCTAGAAGCCCCAACCACCCACCACCTCTGCATAGCCACCCTCAAAACCCAAACCTCCTCCTCCTACGTATGCTCCCTAGCCCTCTCCGGAAACTTCCTATACAGCGGCTTATCCAACGGTCAGATCATAGCATGGAGCCGATTACACCCTTCATCACCCAACAAGGTGGTAGCCACCACCAACAGCACCGTTAAGTCTCTAGCGGTCATTGGGGAGCTACTATTCAGCGCTCACCAAGACCACAAAATCCGAGTCTGGAAAATCGACATCAATCTCATCACAAACCCACACGGTCATCAAAAACACTTCAAATGCATCGCCACCCTCCCCACCCTAAAAGACCGGGTCCCACGATTCTTCTCTCCCAAGGACTATGTGCAAATCCGGCGACACAAGAAGTGCACCTGGGTGCACCACGTCGACACAGTCTCCGCCCTAGCCATATCCAACGACGGGTCGTTTCTCTACTCCGCCTCGTGGGACCGCACGTTCAAAATCTGGCGGACGTCGGATTTCAGATGCTTGGAGTCGGTGAGCAACGCCCACGACGACGCCATCAACGCTATAGCATCGTCGCGTGACGGGGAGTTCGTCTACACCGGCTCTGCAGACAAGAAAATAAAGGTGTGGAAGAAAGTTAATAAGTCAGTCGTGCTTGATGCTACGCTGGAGAGGCACAAGTCGGCTGTGAATGCTTTGGCTTTTAGCTCCGATGGCTCTGTGCTCTACTCCGGTGCCTGCGATCGGTCAATTTTAGTGTGGGAAAGAGATAGTGATCATGTTCGTGGCGTTAAAGGCGGTGGCATGGTGGTAGTGGGTGCGCTGAGGGGACACAGCAAGGCCATATTGTGCTTGGCTGTGGTGGCGGATTTGGTGTTTAGTGGGTCGGCGGATTGTAATGTTAGGGTTTGGAGGAGATCAGGGCGGCTAGTTGATGATGATCATAATAGGAGCATCGGCTATTCTTGCTTGGCTGTGTTGGAAGGTCACAGGAAGCCCGTCAAGTGTTTGACTGCAGCTTGTAACAATAGAAGTGAGGATTCTGATGATTCTGATGATTCTGGTGATTCTTTTCTTGTTTACAGTGGTAGTTTGGATTGTGATATTAAGGTCTGGCAAATACATGCTCCCTTTTTTTAACGTTACTTTTTCTCTTTATTTATTTATTTATTTTTCATTTGGATGATAAGAATGTTTTTTAGTTTATCGAGCTTGGGGTTTCGTCGGTTGATAAAAACAAATGTGGTACAAAAATATAAATTTCTAACACTGTTGTGAGATTTGAGGAGTTGATTTTGACATTTTAAAGCGTAGGCTTTAGATTAGGGTATTTTGGACCTTACCTGATCATTTTGGGGTTTGTTGTTGGAATTTTCTCGTTTCGGAGTTGATTATAATTAACCTCAATGACGAAAGAAAAAGGAAATATCCCTTTGCACTGAGTGACCAGGTTACCAACCCTTTAGATAAGACAATAAGTAAGGACTATCCAAACTTTGACAAGTTTGTGTTTATTATTGGTTTCAAAATTCTCCATATATATAAAGTTAATTTCACATTGGATTTGTGTTCCCACTTTCCAAGTGCTGCTTCAACCTAATGGACAAAAAGCAATGCATGATCTGTCAAATATCTATAAACTCAAGAAAACCTCGGGCCACAAAATAAATAGATACGAAAATATCTGTTTGCCAACGCAAAAGCCATTTCGTAAATGGTTGTGAGAATAATAATAAAAATATCAGTAATATTGACGAAATATTGAGATATTATCGTTTTCGGATCAATGATATTTTGAAACATATCTATACACATATTGTATAAATATCAATAATCTCGACATCGATAATTTCTCTCACACTTCAACAATATTTGGTCAAAATATCGCTATAATATCGATAATATCAATAATATCGAGATGATGAAGACAATGAAAATTTTGATGAGTTATTTATACCAACACCCCATGAGGTTTCTTGTGTTATCACAAAACCCCATCATGTCTCAAAAGTTACATGAACACTCCCTGAGGTTTCAGTTTGTTTTCACAAAACCCCTTTTCGTTGATTATTTGTCCAAAACTTGATAATTTCATTGGGACAAAAAAGCTTATGTAAATGACAAAATTAACCTCAGTGACGTATATGCAATCTAATCTCAAAGGCCAACTTTGTCATTTGGAGAAATTTTTATTATAAAATCATCAATCTTTGGATGAAAAATCAATGAAAAATAGTTTTGTAAAAACAATTTAAAACCTTAGGGGGTGTTCTTGTAATTTCTAAAACCTCAAGGAGTTTTGTGAAAAAGCCGAAAACCTCCGGAGGTGTTAGTATAAATAACTCAAATTTAAATCTTATAGGAACTCTATGTGGTACTAAGTCACTTATGTATCTTACCATGCAATGTATAAAGTGTAAAATATTGTAGTAAATAATTATAAATAAATGATTGCATGAAATTTTATAATATATGTAATGTCTGAAATGCGTATGAATGGAGGAATAAAGAGAAATTTTTTACTACTCAAACTGAAATAGGTGTGTTTAATATTCTTTCATTAATTACTACATATTTTTTTACACTAGTAGTGTTTGTCAGCTTGCTATATACTCAACTTAAATCAGTTAAACCCATCATGCAATACGTTTCCTTCCAATTTTTTTGTGATAAAGTAATAGATAATTGACTAAATAAACATCCTCCAAAGTTTCAACAAAAATTTCTAAGTTTTTCTTACAATTTCCTTGGTTTTTATTCAATTTTTATCGATATCGATAATATCCTAATATTTCTATTGAAATTTATGTGTTTTTGAACTACCGATATTTCTGAAACCATCGATATTTAAGACCTTGGTTGTGAGTATCGATTGTAAATTTAATATTGGGTAAAACTATAAGACCCAATTTATTATATAAGATCTTGAACTTCATGATTTTACAATAGAATTAGGCGGAAATTCAATTAGATTTAAATTACATACATATCTTGAATGATTAGTCTTCTACCATATCAAGATATCGGTCTAAGAACAATTCGTAGATAGTGGTGGATAAGGCCATCCCCAATGGGAGCCCTAAATTGGGCTCTACCTCTTTGGGGCTCATAAATATAGAGCCCAAGTGCAAAAAGGCATCCCCAATGGGAGAATTTTTGGGTTCTATATCATGAAATTGGCCGGAGATAATCATAAATCTGTGGACTTGTATAGAGCTTTAGAGCCCCAATGGGCCCCACATTTTGAAAAACAGAACCTGCAAAGCATGAAAACCAGCGGGCCCTCTATATTGAAAAGTATTAAAAATTACTTTTTCTGTTGCAACTTAGCTCAACTAGAATAAGCAAAATTAATCTGCCATTATGAATGTTTTTGCATTATATGTTGTGGCTAAATTCATTTCCAATAAACATAAATCATACTTATATAAGTCTGAATATCATACATGTATCATCATAACTATCCTTTGGGATATATTATGACAATACCAATAATTAACAATTATGATGCATATATTTTACATTATTGGTACATGTATATTCCTAGTTAGAAAAGCTTTATTACTTATGGATATCCAAAAACAAATCTAAATAAGACATATACAAGTTACCTCATTTATATCACCAATTATATAAATAGTGGATTTACCTTTAGGTGATCCATATCTCTTATGAATATGATGAAAATAAATATACTCACGACGTTGAAACCTTGGAAACATTATAAGGTTAAACTTCATTTATATGCATCCGTAAATCACAAGTAATTGATTAATTATCATTTAATTTGAAATTCATGGAATGTTCTAGCTTGGCCATTTTGATGATTAACAAACCATTCATAATATGAATGTCAAATTAAATTGATAAGAACTGTTTAATCGATTACATTAGACAAAGTACAATGACAATGAAAGAAAATACGTTTGCATTATTTTTTTTAACTTTAATTCACTGTACATGTCTACACTAGGATCATATGATGAGTTAATAAGTAGTCATACATTTAACATATATTGATTAAGATTTCTACATAATAATTTAAATTGATAGTAAAATTAAGTATAGAGTATGGTGTGTGCAGAGGGTGGATTTTTTTTGCGGTGGAGCGAATTGACATTGGAAAAGTAGGAGTAGGGGTAGGGTGAAGGGGCTGTAATTAGGTCACTTTTTTTTAAAATCTGTGTTTTTTTTTATATCATTATTCTTTGGTATAGTTAATTGACGAAATACCCTTAAATTTAACAAAAATTTTAACGGAGTTAGACGTAAATGGTGGATTGCAACACTTTACAAAGTTCAGGTGGTTAAAAATAAAAATTAAAAGTTCAGGAGGTAATGACGCACATACCTGAAAGTTCAAGTGATATTTATGCAAACTTCCCTAATTTAAATTGAGAGTAAAATTGATGTTATTCTTTACTATATTTACTGTCAGCACCCTAATTAATTCATAAGTCAGCCAATCAAACGAATATTTATAACTTTATACCATAAATTTAATAATTTGCCAATTAAATGACAAATTCATTCTTTGGAATCGGCAATAGTCATTAGCACTCCAATTCATATTAGCAAATGAATTTTGCAATCTCGAAACGATCGTTTCATATGCATACACATAGAAATCGAGAAGGAAAAATTTATCGTCCGCATTGTATGTGCACTTTAATATAGAAATAAAACAATTTCTATTTCATTCATTATACACATACAAATTAATTCATATTTTTATATGACTTCATTAATGACAAAATAAAACAAAATTTTCAACATAGCCATATATATATGCATATGCATATAAAGCGTTGTGCCTACTGCCTGCAAATATTGCACTTGTAATAGCCACGCGATGTCATTCAAAGCAATGAATATTATAGTTTCTATGAGCCGACAATAGCTAGTTACAGTGCACACACATGAATTTATACCATCATGGTTGAAATAAAATAAACCCATAATATCATCACGATTGAAAGCAGTAACAAATTCCTTAATCACTATTAGTCATAAAAGTAACTCATTCGTTGAGGAAGTCAAATAATATCATATATTAAACATTCACCCACCGTCAAAACGTGCACCAATTATTTGATCAAAGAAATTTAATCGAAATCACAACATATCATGAAAAAACTGTTACGGTTCAATTAAATTAAAAGATCAAACCATCCATGACGGAAAATTATGAGAGTTCTTAACCATATTCTAAGAGCAAGTCCAGCCATTACCCCCAGACATGGCAGGACAGGGTCCGAGCCCAGGCAACAGCTTCCAGCAGGCCAAGTTTGTCCTGGCAAGCCATGAGTCCCACGAGATTGGGCCAGCCCGTAGGCCAAACCAGCCTGACCTTTAGCCTAGGTTTGATGACGTTAGCAACAAATAATTTTTTTAAAAAAAATCTAAAAAGAAACTAGAATTTTCAGAATTAAAAATAAAAAAAAAACTTAGTCATATTCTTCTCTTAACACACCAAAACTCTATACAAATTCCTCTCCTAATATCTCGTATGAATAGTGGTTGCCATGACAATGAATGGAAACACCACAACCTTTTGCAATGGCTGCCACTATTCACATGAATAGTAACAACCCTTACCCTTTGCCATGACAAATGGGTGGAAGTGCTCTAATACCACATGTAAACTTAATATTGGGTAAAACTATAAGACTCAATCCATGATCCAAGATCTTGAACTTCATGATTTTCACAATAGCATTAGGCGGAAATTCGATTAGACTAAATTACATACATACCTTGAATGATTAGTCTTCTACCATATCAAGATATTTGTTTGAGCGATCCATTGGCCGTAAGTGTAGAGGAAATATGTTTCTCTCTTTAGCCTTTTTGCACATTAGAAAACCTTAATATATGTTTTCATCAGTGTACACATAAGATGAGTATGTGCACTAGGCAGAGAGGACCCGATTCCTAGTGAAGCCCATAATCAATTAACACCTATCACGATAATAAAATAGGAAACTACTTCTCTTTATTTGACTAATATAATTATTCGGAATAATATTTATTGAACAAATTAAACAATTTATTTACCACATAGGTCACTTCATGTGGGCCACACACACTAACTTCCCAACTTGCAAATCGCCCGATTGTTTGCTTTAAGATAAAGACTT